CCGGCCAGAGGCACTTCCCCGGCCCCGCGGCCCCCGCCCAGCCCGGCCCCGCGACTTCCCGCCCCAGGATGCGGCTGGTTGTTGCTCCCGGCCCCCACGCGGCGCTTACCTCCGGGCTGGGGGGCGCCTCCTGCGCGCTAGGCAGCGGCGGGCCCCGAGACGGCTCCGCGGCCCGCCGTGCCTGGGCCCTGGCGGCCTGAGGGTCCATGCCCGGCTGCCCGCGGCTCGGCGCCCTGGACGCCGTGGGCCACGTGACGCGCGCCTGTCGGCCGCCAGCCCGAGGATCCGCCGCCTAGGGGCCAATCAGCCTGGGGAGGGTCCCGGCCAAGAGGGCGGGGCGCCGGGGGGGTCACGAGGAAGCGGAGGCGGGGCGGCGCAGGGGGTGGGGCGTGCGGCCTCGCGGAGCCCGCCCCTGCCTGCCAGCGCGAAATCTGAAACAATCTTGGGGACTGATTTTGGTGCAGATCCCAAGCCTGGACGACTAGCTGGGTGTGAAGCGCCAAGCGTACCCTACGCAGCCACTCGGGGTGTGCTCCAGCTTCAAAACCCCGCGTGGGTAAGACACATCAGCAACTTAGTGACCTCCACCTTGAGATAATGATCGTCTTTGAAGATAATCCATTAGAGAAACCAGGATAAGACACAAACTGCAATGTGCGGTGGACACAGAATAGAGGCCACGACGCTTACTCATAATAATCCTGAACATTCGGGTTCCTGTATTTCCATGCTCAACGCCTGATACTCAGCAACCTAATTATTTCCCATTTTGCCTCGAAAGGTGGCTTCTGGGGATAGGCAGGGCCTGAGCTGGGAACAACCCAATTGGAAAGACAGCCTTCCCTGCCTTCCCCACAGTGCCTAACCTCTAGTAACAAACCAGCTCAAGGCGTGCTAATCACGTCAACATCAGGACATGAGACCCTCTTCCTTCATCCCCCTCAAAGACTGTGTTGTTTGTACAACACAAAAGGCATTTGAAAAAATTTAGCATAAAACTGACACACAATATTCGATATTATTTTTCTCTCTGTAGATGTTCCTACGCAGGAGTCAGTATCCCCAAGGCTAACTGCCTCTAGGTCAGCAGTGTCCAATAGAACCTTCGTTAATGGGCCGGGCGCGGTGGCTCAAGCCTGTAATCCCAGCACTTCGGGAGGCCGAGACGGGCGGATCATGAGGTCAGGAGATCGAGACCATCCTGGCTAACATGGTGAAACCCCGTCTCTACTAAAAAATATTTTTAAAAAAACCTAGCCGGGCGAGGTGGCGGGCGTCTGTAGTCCCAGCTACTCGGGAGGCTGAGGCAGGAGAATGGCGTGAACCCGGGAGGCGGAGCTTGCAGTGAGCTGAGATCCGGCCACTGCACTCCAGTCTGGGCAACAAAAGCGAGACTCTGTCTCAACAACAACAACAAAAAAGAACCTTCGTTAATGGTGAAAAGTTCTACTATCTGTGCTGTCCAATATAGTAACCATATACCTACTGAGCACTTAAAATGTGGCCAATATGAATAAATTGAATAATTCTAATAAATTTAAATTGCTACATCTGCCTAGGAGCTACTGTTTCTAACAGTGCAACTCTAGGTGTACTAGCTAGATGCGTTTTCATAACCTGCAATAGTGAGAATCAGATACAGGGGACGTGATGAGCCCAGGTGACCACTTTTATATAGCTTTGTGTTAAGGAGACTACCACTATCCTCTTTGCTCCCTACTCTATTTACAACACATATCTCTTTTGTAAAATTAAAGTGCCAAATAAGATTTAGAAGGTTAAACATCCCAGGACTTAAGGGACAGGAAAAAGAGGAATTTTTTTCTTATTTTAAAACAAATGACAAGAAAACAGGCTGGCCGCGGTGGCTCACTCCTGTAATCTCAGCACTTTGGGAGGCTGAGGCAGGCGTATTACTTGAGGTCAGTTCAAGGCTATCCTGGCCAACATGGTGAAACCCCGTCTCTACCAAAAATACAAAAATTAGCCAGGCGTGGTGGCGCACACCTATAATCTCAGCTACTCGGGAGGCTGAGGCAGGAGAATCCCTTGAGCCCAGGAGGTGGAGGTTGCAGTGAGCAGAGTGTCCCACGGCACTCCACTCTGGGAGACAGAGTGAGACTTGGTCAAAAAAAAAAAACAAAAAACAAACAAAAAAAAAACACACACACACAAAGAAAAACAGTACAAAAGCTCAAAATAAAAATATTCTAAAGTAGACTCTAATACTCATAGAAATTTAACATATAATAAAGGTAACATCACAAATCAGCAGAGAGAAACGTAACTGGCCAAATAGTGTTGGAAAAATTAATTAACTGCTTGGGGAAAAAGTGTCTTCTCAGCACCAGGAAGAGCTTTCAAAGCATTGTAAAAACAAGTATCTCACACACACACACACACACACACACACACGCACGCACACACACACAAAATACCTCTGGGCATCAAAAATTGCCACAAAAGGTGGGTGCTTATATAATCCCAGCTACTTGGGAGGCTGAGGCAGGGAGAACTGCTTGAACCTAGGAGGCAGAGGTTGCAGTGACCACTGCACTCCAGCCTGGGCCACAGAGCAAGACTCTGTCTCAATTAAAAAAAAAAAAAAAATTGCCACAAGAAAAGCTGGGGGTAAAATTATTTGCAACAAATTAGAAACAAGATATTAATATACTTAATATGTTTTTAAAAACTCTGCCCAGGCACAATGGCTCATGCCTGTAATACCAGTACTTTGGGAGGCTGAGGTAGGATTGCTTGAGGCCAACCCTTTAAGAGACCAGCCCTGGCAACATAGTGAGACCAGTCTCTACAAAAGAATTTTTTAATTAACCAGGCGTGCTGGTGTGTGCCTGTAGTCCCAGCTACTCAGGAGGCTGAGGCAGGAGGATCTCTTGAGCCCAGAATTTAAGGTTGTAGTGAGCCATGATCACACCACTGCACTGTAGCCTAGATGACAGAGCAAGACCTTGTCCAATTAAAAAAAAAAAAAATGAACTCATAAATTAGTAAGAAAAAAGTGTTTAAAATAGTCTAAGGATGTAAAAAGATGAGAAACATAAAATACACTAACTTCACTAATATCAAAGAAAAGTATGTTGAAACATTTCACCTATAAAATGGTAAAAATAAAAAATATAATTACACCAGTACAGGTAATGGTATTGACACTTTCATCTATTGCTTGAAAGAAGGAGCAAACCAGCAATACATATCAATATTCTCTAAAAGCAGTATCCTTTGATCCAGTAATTCCACTGTCAGATGTCAATCTCCTAAGGAAATAGCCAGGGATGTGAACAAAGATTGACAAGAATCTTCATCAACAGCATTTATATAATTTTTTTAAAAATGAGAAATGACAGTCTAGGCCGCGCTCGGTGGCTCACGCCTGTAATTCCAACACTTTGGGAGACCAAGACGGATGGATCATGAGGTCAGGAGTTCGAAACCAGCCTGGCCAATATGGTGAAACCCCCTCTCTACTAAAAATACAAAAATTAGCTGGGTGTGGTGGCGGGTGCCTGTAGTCCCACCCAGCTGCTCGGGAGGCTGAGCCAGAACCACTTGAACCCAGGAGGTGGAGGTTGCAGTGAGCCGAGATAGGGCCACTGCACTCCAGCCTGGGCAACAGAGCAAGACTCCATCTCAAACAAACAAACAAAAAAAGACAGTCCAACCAGAGGATTAGTAAAATACATTATGGCTTATTTTTACAATGTAATGTTATGAATTCATTAAATGCTTTTAAGGCTATTTAATGACACAGAAAAACAATACTAAGTGAAACTAACAATAAGCCACACTGAAAGCTTCTCCCAGTGACATGGTATTAAGCTACAGGATACAATTCAAACAGTTACATCCTGCTCCTGGAATGTTTTTATTTTTTTGCTCCAAGCCTGCCTTCCACTCCTCACTGCTAAGGCTTCTCTGCACTTGAATCTATTCCCTACCCCTTCCCTTCTTTTGTTGGTGGATCGCCTCAATTGCAAACACTTCTCTGATCATCAGTTCCAGAAGACAGAAGACACTTTTTTATGGTTTTCACCTTCTTGAAGGACAAATTTTCCCAATATCCAGCAATTCCTTTGCTGCTGATCCAATCAACTTTCTTAGGACATTCAGCTGTTTCTGCAACCCCCACTTCTATCCCCAAAGGCCTCCCTTCTTTCCTGCACATAATGGGCACTCAAATATTTCTTGAATGAATGAATGGGTAAATAATCTAAGAGTATAAATCCAATTCTGATAAAGGAAATCAAATTACTAAGTTTAACTCTAGATTACAGGATGCTTTGATTTTTTTCGCCACACTATTCTATTTCCTCCATATTTTCCAGAACAAATGCATACCACGTATCTTTTACAATGAGAATAAACTAACAAAACTGTACCTTCTCCTTTTTTTTCTCGAGAAGGAGTTTTGCTCTTCTTGCCCAGGCTGGAGTGCAATGGCATGATCTCGGCTCACTGCAACCTCCGCCTCCCAGGTTCAAGCGATTCTCCTGCCTCAGCCTCCCAAGTAGCTGGGATTACAGGCACCCAACACCACGCCTGGCTATTTTTTGTATTTTCTGTAGAGATGGGGTTTCACCACGTTGGCCAGGCTGGTCTCAAACTCCTGACCTCAGATGATTTGCCTGCCTCAGCCTTCCCAAAGTGCTGGGATTACAGGTGTGAGCCACCACGCCTGGCCACTTTCTCCTTCATTTTAACTGGCTCTTAAATCGAGATTAGAGATATTAGTGCTTGACCCCAGATAATAATAAAAAAAAAAAAACAGTTGTATGCTTTCCATATATTTTGGGGAACATTTAGGACCTGTGGTAGATCGGGCCTCAACATTAAATCAGCAGTTCTCTTTCCCAGAATCAGATATTAGCACATCAAGCTGAGCACAGTGTCATACACCTATAATTCCAGCTACTCAGGAGTCTGAGGTAAGAAGGTCACTTGAGTCCAGGAGGTCAAGACCAGCCAGGGCAACAGAGCAAGATCCTGTCTCAATCATAAAAAATTTTTAATTTTTAAAAAAGATTAACAAGTTAACATAAAATAAAGTGTGTCTCAAAACCAGACAGCCATCTTGTCTGCCATCACTGAGCAAATTACAGATGGACTCATAATACAAATTTGCCCCCAGGGCTTGCTTGCAATACTGTTTCACAAAGCAGGCTGTATTCTTCCTCTTCACAAATGGCCAGTCTGATGCATAGCATGTTTAGCTACAAATGCCTCTGCTGACTCTCCCTGCAACATTTTCATCGCTCGCCAGTAGATCTGTCCACAGTTCTCAGGTCTACCAAGGGGGTGGTTCAATTCTTCTTTCATATAATCCATCCAAAGATCTTTAAAAAAAAAAACAAAACATACAATTAGATAACTGACAGGACTGTTATTAGGTAACCTTATTAAATATCAATTCAACTCAAGATTTCTAAGAAACTTAACTTCTCACTGTTACTTCCCTAGGATGCTTTGTTTAACAATACCTCTCTTAGCTTCTTTAAACTATAGTGGCAGATTTTGGTTTGTTTTTTTTTTGAGACAGGGTCTTACTGTGTTGCCCAGGCTAGAACGTAGTAGTGAGAACATGGCTTACTATAGTCTCAACTTCCTGAGTTCAAGTGACCCTCCTGCCTCAGCCTCCAGGGCAGCTGGGACCACAGGCACACCACCATATTTGGCTAATTTTTTAATATTTTGTAGAAAGAGGGTTTCACCATATTGCCCAGGCTAGTCTTCAACTCCTGGGCTAAAGCAATCCTTCTACCTTGGCCTTCCAAAGTGCTGGGATTACAGGTGTGAGACACTGCACCTCGCCAGGTTTTTTTTTTTTCCCAGTAGAAAACCTTCACATCAATCATAAAAGTCTGTTTTATTTAATTAACTCAAAAATACTAAACTTTTTGGCTAGGCACAGTTGCTCATACCTGTAATCCCAGCACTTTGGGAGGCCAAGGCAGGCGGATCACCTGAGGTGAAGAGTTCAAGACCAGCCTAGCCAGCATGGCAAAACTCCATCTCAACTGAAAATACAAAAATTAGCCGGGCATGGTGGCACACGTGCCTGTACTCCCAGCTACTTGGGAGGCAGAGGCACGAGAATCGCTTGAACCTGGGAGGCAGAGGTTGCAGTGAGCCGAGATTGTGCCACTGCACTCCAGCCTAGGTGACAGAGTGAGACACCGACTCAAAACAAAATAAAAATAAACAAATCAATGTTTATGAGTTCATAAATAAAGTCCACAGATTTTACATGACATACCTGTACCCAGAAGTACGTTCTACAAGTCCTACAAATGAGGGCAATGTGGAGACAGTCAATAACAGATGCCAATTAGCATCTCACGTTTACCCCTTTCATGTAACTCTAAATACATTTTTTTAAGAGAACAAAACCATGCAAATCTTTCTCTAATCCAGAGGGGGTGTTTTTGGTTTCTGGTTTTGAGACAGGGTCTCATTGTATCACCCAGGCTGGAGTACAGTGGTGGCATCACGGTCATTGAGACTCAACCTCCTGGGGTCCAAACAACCCTCACACCTCAGCCTCCTGTGTAGCTGGGACCACAGGCATGCACTACCATATGCAGCTACTTTTTCGTGTTTGTTTGTAGAGATGAGGGTCTAAATAATGTTGCCCAGGCTGGTCTCAGACTCCTGAGAAATCCAGAGTTCTTAACAGACAACCCATGGACCCCTGAACTTATGATCTTGAAATGATAAACAAAATTAGTATACACAAAGCAACTGAGGAGGCAGAGGAAGGAAACAAGTTTTATTTTAAAAGAGGGTTATGATGCAAAAAAAAACTAAGAAAACAGTTCTGTTTATTTTTGAGATGGAGTTTCACTGTTGTTGCCCATGCTGGAGTGCAATGGCGCAATCTCAGCTCACTGCAACCTCCATCTCCCAGGCTCAAGCAATTCTCCTGCCTCAGCCTTCCCAGGCTGGGGATTACAGGTGCGCACCAGCATGTCTGGCTAATTTGTATTTTAGTAGAGACAGGGTTTCACCATACTGGCCAGGCTGGTCTCAAACTCCTGACCTCAGGTGATCTGCCTGCCTTGGCCTCCCAAAGTGCTGGGATTACAGGCATGAACCACTGTGCTCAGCCAAGAAATACTGTTCTAACCACACTAATTGGTCACAAATTAAGGGTTTACTTACCAGAATCTGTGGATCCAAATTCTCTCAAAGCTCTCTCATAATATTCTCTTATGTTCGCCATATTGCAGGATTCCTGACAAAGATAGACAATCTTGCCTCAAAAGCCTGATTTATAACATAACAATTCATTCCAACCATATTGTTAAGCAGCTATTGTCTGTCAGGTATTTGAAGGGGAAGAGTTTAACATGAACACAACTTGGCTCTCAACTTTTCCAGGAAAGAATCAAAGCCACTCAACAGAGTGAAGTACATGTGAAACATAAAAGCACTTTGCTGTAGTAGCATGGAAAAAAGCGCTATTAGAAAAAAGTGGGGGACATGGGCAGCTTCACAGAAAACAGTATTTGAAAGTCTTGAGGAATGAGTGGGAATTAAATAAACAGCGAAGGTTCTAATTGTTTTGAGTAAGGATTTCTTCCTTTTGAATATCTGGGCTCTGGTACTTATTTGCTATATCCACTTAAAATAAATACTAGTTATATAACCTTCAGCAAGTTTTTAAACCCTTTGACCTTAAACACTTCCTCACCTATAAAACAAGCATAATATCTTAGCACAACTATAAGTATTAGATTAAAATGCTGATGAATTATGTACCTAGCAGAATAGCTGTAACTAACTTTACAACCAAAAACTGCTCATTCTCCACCTATTTTTAAAATGTATTCTTGCCGGGCGCCATGGCTCACACCTGTAATCCCAGCACTTTGGGACGCCAAGGCGGGCGGATCACAAGGTCAGGAGATCAAGACCATCCTGGCTAACACAGTGAAACCCTGTCTCCACTAAAAATACAAAAAATTAGCTGGGTGTGGTGGTGGGCGCCTGTAGTCCCAGCTACTGAGGAGGCTGAGGCAGGAGAATGGCATGAACCCGGGAGGCAGAGAGTGTAGTGAGCCAAGATGGTGCCACTGCACTCCAGCCTGGGTGAGACTCTGTCTCAAAAAAAAAAAAAAAAGTATTCTTGCCGGGCGCGGTGGCTCACGCCTGTAATCCCAGCACTTTGGGAGCCCAAGGCGGGCAGATCACAAGGTCAGGGGTTTGAGACCAGCCTGGCCAACATGGTGAAACTCTGTCCCTACTAAAAATACAAAACTTAGCCAGGCATGGTGGTGCATGCCTATAATCCTAGCTACTCAAAAGGCTGAGGCAGGAGAACTGCTTAAATCTGGGAGGCAGAGGTTGTAGTGAGCCAAGAGTGTGCCACTGCACTCCAGCCTGGGCAACAGAGCGAGACTCTGTCTCAAAAAAAAAAAAAAAATAGCCAGGTGCAGTGGCAGGCGCCTGTAATCCCAGCTACTCAGGAGGCTGAAGCAGGAGAATCGCTTGAACCTGGGATGTGGAGGTTGCAGTGAGCCAAGATTATGCCACTGCACTCCAGCCTAGGCAACAGGCAGTGAGACTCTGTCTCCAAAAAAAAAAAAAAAAAAAAAAGTCAATTTAACCTCATATTTTAGACATGCACGAAAAACAGATCACACCTGTTTAACGGCTCATATGTGCACGGCATTATGCAACATCCTTTCTATCCAGTGTCCCATTTGGCCTTACAACTCTCACACCCCTGAAACAGGTATAATAACCTTTACAGATGAGGATGGGAAGCTTAGAATTAAGTGACTTGCTCAAGGCACATAACTATCATGTTATAAATCCAAAGCCTGGCTATTAAATATTAGGCTAGACTATCTCCTGTACTATAAAACTGTCTTATACAGTAGAATAAGAACAGATACTTGGCTTGCCGGGCACAGTGGCTCACGCCTATAATTCCAGGACTTTGGGAGGCTGAGGGATCACCTGAAGTCAGGAGTTTGAGACCAGCTTGGCCAACATGGCGAAACTGTGTCTCTACTGAAAATACAAATTTGGCCGGGCGTGGCGGCATGTGCCTGTAATCCCAGCTACTCGGGAGGGTGTGGCAGGAGAATCGCTTGAACTCAGGATGCAGAGTTTGCAGTGAGCCAAGATCACACCACTGCACCCCAGCCTGGGCAAGAGTAAGACTCTATCTCAAAAAAAAAGTAACATCTAAGTTTTCTATCCTCCAAACACGTACTTTCTCTTTGCTTGATTACCAATCCTAAACCAGCTCTATGGAAAAGGGGTTAGACCAAGGGATCAGAAATTTATACTGTATTATAATGAGAGCTTTTTACATAACAAAACACTCCCAGGCTGGGCACAGTGGCTCACACCTGTAATCCCAACACTTTGGGAGGCAGAAGCAGGCAGATCACGAGGTCAACAGATATAGACCATCCTGGCCAACATGGTAAAACCCTATCTCTACTAAAAATACAAAAATTGGCTGGGCCTGGTGGTGCACATCTGTAGTCCCAGCTACTCAGGAGGCTGAGGCAGGAGAATGGTTTGAACCTGGGAGATGGAGGTTGCGGTGAGCCAAGATCGCGCCACTGCACTCCAGCCTGGCGACAGAGTGAGACTCTGCCTCAGGGAGAAAAAAAAAAAAAGTCTGATAGATTAGTAACCACTTATCCATTTTCCCAGACAAGAAATGCTGAGGCCGCGCGCGGTGGCTCAAGCCTGTAATCCCAGCACTTTGGGAGGCTGAGACGGGCGGATCACGAGGTCAGGAGATCGAGACCATCCTGGCTAACACCGTGAAACCCCGTCTCTACTAAAAATACAAAAAACTAGCCAGGCGAGGTGGCGGGCGCCTGTAGTCCCAGCTACTCCGGAGGCTGAGGCAGGAGAATGGCGTGAACCCGGGAGGCGGAGCTTGCAGTGAGCTGAGATCCGGCCACTGCACTCCAGCCCGGGCTACAGAGCAAGACTCCGTCTCAAAAAAAAAAAAAGAAATGCTGAAACAGAATACTTACTTGCTCCTTTTCAAACTGAATCATTTTCCTGAAAAAGTCAACTGAAAAAGGACGGCTCTCCTGTAAACTAAAAAGGAAGGAGAAAATGTTATCTTCAGCAATGACAAAAAGCCTCTTCCATCTCATAAATGTAAATACCCAGACCAGTGCCTCCACAACACATGGTTTAATAAAGACTTGACTTCAAATCAATGCAAGGACTTGACCTGATGGCCAGTCACTCTTACAATTCAATGACCACTTTCTCTTCATACCCAGTTCTTAGTTCTTTTTTTTTTTTTTTTCCTTGAGACAGAGTCTCACTTTGTCACCCAGGTTGGAGTGCAGGAGTGCAATGTTGCAATCATAGCTCACTGCAGCCCTGAATTCCCAGGCTCAAGCAATCCTCCTGCCTTAGCCTCTACAGTAGCTGTGACTACAGGTATACAAAACCACACACAGCTTATTTTTCAAATTTTTTGTAGAGAAGAGGTCTCACTAGGTTTCTCAGGCTAGTCTCAAACTCCCGGGCTCAAGCAATCCTCCCGCCTCAGCCTTCCAAAGTGCTAGAATCACAGGTGTGAGCCACCATGCCTGGTTCAATTTTCTTACTTACTGTACTCTTCTTTCTCAATTATAGTTTTCAAGTTCCCTCAACTACATGTCAAAGTCTTTTGGGAAATCAGTAATTCCATTTCTAGGAATATATTCTAAGGAAATGATTTCTAATATGGACAAATATTTGTGCAGAAATATTCATCAAAACAGTATTACTGTGGCCAAAAAAGTTGTATTGCACCCACGGCTGGGCACAGTGGCTCACGCCTGTAATCCCAGCATTTTCTGAGGCCAAGGCGGGTAGATCACCTGAGGTCAGGAGTTCAAGACCAGCCTGACCAACATGGTGAAACCCTGTCTCTACCAAAAATACAAAAATTAGCTGGGTGTGGTGGCGGGCACCTATAATCCCAGCTAGGGGAGGCTGAGGCAGGAGAATCACTTGAACCTGGGAGGCGGAGGTTGCAGTGAGCTCAGATCAAGCCATTGCACTCCAACCTGGGCAACAGAGTGAGACTCCGTCTCAAAAAAAAAAAAGTTATACTGCATCCACAGAGCAGTATATCATACAGCTTTCTCTCTTTTTTTTTTTTTTCCCTTTTAGATAAAGTCTACCTCTGTCACCCAGGCTGGAGTACAGTGTTGAGATCATAACTCACTGCGGCCTAGAATTCCTGGGCTCAAGCAGTACTCCCGCCCCAGCCTTCGGAATAGCTGAGACCATAGGTAAAAACCGTGTCTGGCTAATTGTTTTTCATTTTTAGTAGAGAAAGGGTCTCGCTATGTTGCCCAGGCTGGTCTTCAACTCCTGGGCCCAAGCAATCCTCCCACCTCAGCCTTGGCTTCCCAGAGTGCTGGGATTACAGGAATGGCATGAGCCACCATGCCTGGCCTCTTTATTTTTTTTTTATTTTTTGAGACAGGCTCTCCCTCTGTTGCCCAGGCTGGAGTTTAGTGGCACAATCATAGCTCACTGAAGCCTCAAACTCCTGGGGCTCAAGCAATTCTCCCACCTCGGTCTCCTAAAGCACTGGGATTACAGGTGTGAGCCACAGTGCCTGACCCATCAGCCATGTATTATTTTAATTTCAACTTTTATTTTAGATTCAGGGGAGTACATGTGCAGGTTTGCTATGTGGGTATATTGCGTGACACTGAGGTTTGGGGTAGACTGACCCCGTAACCTAGATAATGAGCATAGTAATCAATAGGCAGATTTTCAGCCCTTTCCTCCGTTTCTCCTACCCTCCTTCCCCCACCATGTAGTGTCTACTATTTGTCTTTGTGTCCACGTGTACCCAATGTTTAGCTATAATTTTAAGTAAGAACATGTGGTATTTGGTTTTCTGTTCCTGTGATAACCTGCTGAGGACAATGGCCTCCAGCTGTATCCACGCTACTGCCAAGAACATGATTTTGTTCTTTTTTATGGCTGCACAGTATTCCATAGAGTATATGTGCCACATTGTCTTTTTCCAATCAACTGTCCATAAGCACCTGGGTTGATTCCATGTCCTTACTGTTGTGAATAGTGCTTTGATGAACATACGAGTACATGTCTCTTTGGGATTGTTTTCCTTTGGGTATATACCTAGTAATGGAATTGCTGAGATGAATGGTAGATTTGTTTTAAGTTCTTCCAGAAATCTCCAGCTGATTTCCACAGGAGCTGAACTAATTTACATTCCCACCAACAGTGTATAAGGTTTTTCCTGCAGCCTTGCCAATATCTATAATTTTATGACTTTTTAATAATAGCCATTCTGACTAGTGAGATGGTATCTCATTGTGGTTTTGATTTGCATTTCTCTAAGGGTTAGTCATCTTGAGCATTTTTTCATATGTATGTTGGCTGCCTTCAATACAGCTATTATATTTGTTTTGTTTTGAGTTTTTTTGTTTCTGTTGTTTTTGTTTTGTTTTTGAGATGGAGTCTCGCTCTGTCACCCAGGCTGGAGTGCAGTGGCGCGGTATAGGCTCGCTGCAAGCTCTGCCTCCCAGGTTCACACCATTCTCCTGCCTCAGCCTCCCGAGTAGCTGGGACTACAGGCGCCCACCACCACGTCCGGCTAATTTTTTTTGAATTTTAATAGAGATGGGGGTTTCACTGTGTTAGCCAGGATGGTCTTGATCGCCTGACCTCATGATCCGCCTGCCTTGGCCCCGCAAAGTGCTGGGATTACAGGTGTGAGCCACGGCCTGTTTTTGTTTTTGTTTTGAGATAGGTTTTCACTCTATCACCAAAGCTGGAATGTAGTAGCACAAACACGGCTCACTACGGCCTCAACCACCTGGACTCAAGTGATCCTCCCACTTCAGCTTCCCAAAGAGCTAAAATCACAGGCACATGCCACGACACCCAACTTTTTTTCTTTTAACTTTTAATAGAAATGAAGTCTCACTGTGTTGCCCAGGCTGGTCTCAAAACGCTTGGGCTCAAGCAATCCTCTTGTCTCAGTCTCCCAAAGTCCTGAGATTACAGGCCTTGACCCAGTGTGCCCAGCTCATATGGCGATGTTTAATAAATGATGTTTATAAAAAATTTTTGGCTGGGCACAGTGCCTCACACCTACAATCCCAGCCCTTTGGGAGGCCAAGGCAGGAAGATCACTGGAAGCCATAAGGTCAAGATCAGTTTAAGCAACAAAGCGAGACCCCGACTCTACAAAAAAATTTAAGAATTAGCTGGGCATGGCCAGGCATGGTAACTCATGCCTGTAATCCCAGCACTTTGGGAGACTCAGCTGGGCAGACTGCTTGGGCCCAGGAGTTCAAGACCAGCCTGGGCAACAGAGTAAAACCCCATCTCTACTAAAAATAAAAAAATTACCTGGGTGTGGTGGTGCAATACCTGCAGTCCCAGCTACTTGGGAAGCTAAGGCACAAGAATTGCTTGAACCAGGGAGGCAGAGTTTGCAGTGAGCCAAGATGGGGCCACTACACTCAGCCTGGGCAACAGAACAAGACTGTCTCAAAGAAAAAAAAATATTTAGGCCGGGCACCGTGACTCACACCTGTAATCCCAGCACGTTGGGAGGCCGAGGCAGGCGGGTCACCAAAGGTCAGGAGTTTGAGACCAGCCTGGCCAACATGGCAAAAACCCATATCTACTAAAAATATAAAAAATTAGCCAGGCGTCGTGGCACATGCCTGTAATCCCAGCTACTTGGGAGGCTGAGGCAGGAGAATCACTTGAACCCGGGAGGCAGAAGTTGCAGTGAGCCAAGACTATACCACTGCACTCCAGTCTGGGCAGCAGAGCGAGACTTCATCTCAAAAAAAAAAAAAAAAAATTTTTTAATCGTAAATAAAATTACGGTTACACTATAATCTCAACTACATAAAAACAAATTTTAAAATTATATGTTAACAGTAATTTTTCCTTTGATATAATAAATTATCATGGCTATGTTTTCCCCCACCACAATGAACTGCTTTTATTGTTCGAAAAAAAGAAAAAGAAGGCCAAGCATGGTGGCTTACACTTATGATCCTAATACTTTGGGAGGCTGAAGCAGGAGGACTGCTTGAGCCCAGGAGTTTGAGACCAGGCTGAACAATGCTGTGAGACTCAGTCTCTACGGAAAAAAAATGTTTTAAGTTAGCTGGACATGGTGGTACATTCCTGTAAACCCAGACATTTGGGAGGCTGAGGTGGGAGGACTGCTGGAGCCCAGAAGCTCAAGGCTTCAGTGAACCATGCTTATGCCACTGCACTCTAACCTGGGTGACAGAGTGAGAACCTGTCTCAAAAAAGAAAAAGGAACTTTACTTTTTGAAAAAGTTTATTGGAAGCCGAATGCACTGGCTCATGCCTGCAATCCCAGCACTTTGAGAGGCCAAGACAAGCAAATCACTTGAGACCAGAGTTCGAGACCAGTCTGGCCAACATGATGAAACCCTGTCACTACTAAATTACAAAATTTAGCCAGGCATGGTGTCGCACATCTGTAATCCCAGCTACTCAGGAGGCTAAGGCAGAAGAATCCCTTAAACCTGGGAAGTGGACATTGCAGTGAGCTGAGATCTTGCCACTGTACTCCAGCCTGGGTGACAAGAGTGAAACTCTGTCTCAAAAACACAAACAATAAAAAAAAAAAAGGAAAATGAAACAGTGTATTGGGTCACGTGCAGTGCCTCATGCCTGTAATCCCTATACTTTGGGGAGGCTGATGCGGGCAGATCACCTGAGGTCAGGAGTTTGAGACCAGCCTGGTCAACATGGTGAAACCTTGTCTTTAAAATGTAAAAGTTAAAAATTAGCTAGGCGTGGTGACAGGCATCTGTAATCCCAGCTACTCGGGAAGCTGAGGCAGGAGAATCACTTGAACGCAGGAGGCGGTTGCAGTGAGCCGAGATTGTGCCACTGCACTCCAGTCTGGGAAATAGAGCGAGACATGCAACTCCATCTTTTTTTTTGTCTGTTTGTTTGTTTGGAGATGGAGTTTCGCTCTTGTTGCCCAGGCTGGAGTGCAATGGCTCAATCTCAGCTCACTGCAACCTCCGCCTTTTGGGTTTTAACTATTCTCCTGTCTCAGCCTCCCGAGTACCTGGGGTTACAGGCATGTACTACCATGCCTGGCTAATTTTGTATTTTTTAGTAGAGACAGGGTTTCTCCATTTTGGTCAGACTGGTCTTGAACTCCTGACCTCAGGTGATCCACCCGCCTCGCCCTCCCAAAGTGCTGGGATTACAGGCGTGAGCCACCACGCCCAGCCTGAGACTCCATCCAAAAAAGAAAAAAAAAAAGAAAAAGTGTATTGGATTACTCCCTCAGATGCTATTTGTGATACAAATAATCTGGGTATGAGTGGCTGAGTATGGGGTGGAGAGACCAGCAACAACTATGAACGTCTGTGAGTACCTTTTAAACACAGCTCTGGCCTTTCTGTAGCCACCACTTCGATAAGCCCAATCCAGGTACTTATTCTTCAGGGTTACTGAGTCGGCACCTATAACAGCTAAGAGAGCTTTCTACAATTTAAAAGAAAAAAGGAGCTATGTGAGAAAACTTACAGGTATCAAAACAGATTTTCCCAGAACCACCTGAGGCCACTCCATAGTGCTTTAGGCGCACCTGCAACACTAGAGCTGGCCAACCAGGGAACCTTCTGCCATTCCCCACACCACGAGACTTGGAACACGGTGCCTATACCTTAAAGACTGCCTCAGTGTCTTCTTGGCTTTTGGCATCTTCACTCCACTCTGCCCAGGAAATCCACAATGGCAGACAAACCTACTCCCAGTTTAAAAAATGTTAGAAAATAGCATATAACAAAACATCGCATGTACCCTATAAATATGTAAAATATTATGTATCAATTTTTTTAAAGCTATAAAATGACAGTTTAGTCCTATGCTCTGAAAACTAGTTAAAAAGGCAGGTTCCTCCTAAGATAATCGACATGTAAAATAGGGATTCATTCCCAAACAGTTCTCATTGTGACAGAATTCTCATTGCCCAGCAAGAATGGCATGCCAGAACACAGTCAGCCTTCTGACCAAGTCACTCAGAGCAACGCTCTTCTGTGAATTTTAGTTCCTTTCTATTGGGAAATATTTCATGTAGTTATCATCAATCATCTTTTAGTTAAGTAAGCAATTAACAGCCCACATAGTTAGATCCACAGCTACCCAGGTCATGTCTCTGCTGTCTAAGACCCACAAGAACTAATTAATCTAGGCTGAACTATCTGATCTTCATTCATGTCCCAGAGATACATACAAATGAGCAGCAAAGGTTAGGCATGGTGGCACATTTGTAATCCCAGAACTTTGAAGACGGAGGTTAGGCATGGTGGCGCACGTTTGTAATCCCAGAACTTTGAACACTTGAGGCCAGGAGTTCAAGATCAGCCTGGCCAACATGGCAAAACCCTGTCTCTACTAAAAATACAAAAATTAGCTGAGCATGATGGCAGGCGCTTCTACTACTTGGGAGGCTGAGGCAAGAGAATCGCTTGAACCTAGGAGGCGGAGGTTGCAGTGAGCCAAGATTGCACCAATGCACTCCAGCCTGGGCAAGAGAACAAGACTTCATCTCAAAAAAAAAAAAGGAAAAAGAAAACACCACCAAGTGAGCAGTAATTTTTTTCCTACTTTATCTTCTGGAATACATTTTTCCTACTAATACAAAAAATTCACTGCAAAGTGAATCTGGCCATACACCATGGCTCACACCTATAATCTCAGCACTTTGGGAGGCCCAGGAGGGCAGATCACTTGAGGCTAGGAGTTCCAGACCAGCCTGGCCAACATGGAGAAATTCTGTCTCTACTAAAATAGAAAATATTAGCCGGGTGTGATGGCACGCACCTGTAGTCCCAGCTACTCGGGAGGCTGAGGCAGGAGAATTGCTTGAACCCGGGAGGTGGAGACTGCAGTGAGCTGAGATCACACCACTGTACTCTAGCCTGGGCAACAGAGCAAGACTCCATCCCAAAAAAAAAAAAAAAAAAAAGTTGGGCTTATATTCAGCAAGTGACATTAATATTTTACCGGTATTTCTGACTTTATAAGAAATACCATTCTATTCCTAAATAGAATAGGAAGTTTTATATAATTTGGTCAACTTTCAAATAAAGAATATTAAATACAGGCAACTTCTTCTACTCTTAACCTATGAACCATCACCACTTAATAACAAATGCCACTCTAGAATTGGCTCTCAACAGATAAGTATATTCCGAATGAGCTTTGGCTAGTCTTAAAAGGTTTCCCAAATATAATGAATACAAAAGATCCAGCTCACTGACCTGGGGTTTCAGGTGCACAAAGGCTTCTTCAAAAAGCATGGCTATGTCAGGACTCTTTGACTCGATCAGCACCCGCAGCTTCAGCTGCCACATTGTCCCAGAGTCTCTAAACAATTCAGTTCCAGCTACTGCCACTTCCAGAGCTTCCCTCAGGAATTTATGACACAGCAACGAAACAATCTAGACAAGACGAAGGATGACTGGTAAATTAATTACTGAAACCCAAACAATCTATATAAATGGAGACAAATAAACACCTCATTTGAGGCAAGAATTTCACCAACCTTTCCACTACAATTTAAAATAAAAAAGAGGCCACGCATGGTGGCTCACACCTGTAACCCCAGCACTTTGGGAGGCCGAGGCAGGCAGACCACGAGGTCAGGAGATCGAGACCATCCTGGCCAACATGGTGAACCCCGTCTCCACTAAAAATACAAAAATTATCTGGTTGTGGCAGTGGGCGTCTGTAATCCCAGCTACTCAGGAGGCTGAAACAGGAGAATCGCTTGAACCCAGGAGGGAGATTGCAGTAAGCTGAGATCACGCCACTGCACTCCAACCTCAGCAACAGAGCAAGACTTCATTTAAAAAAAAAAAACAAAACAAAAGAAAAGAAAAGAGCTATGTGATAATTCATAGGTATCAAAACAAATTTTCCATGGCTGTTAAACAGGCACAAAGTGAACAATTTAGAATTTCTCCTCTTTTCACTGCTCCTACCCATGATACCCATGAGGGTTATCCAAAAACAGGGAAGACGTAAAAATCAGAGAACATAAATAATTTAGACTGTAAGTTAGGTGTTGTTTTTTTTTTTTTTGGAGACGGAGTCTCGCTCTGTAGCCCAGCCTGGAGTGCAGTGGCGCGATGATCTCCACTCACTGCAACCTCCGCCTCCCGGGTTCAAGCAATTATCCTGCCTCGGCCTCCCAAGTAGCTGGGATGACAGGCGCCTGCTGCCACACCCGGCTAATTTTTTGTATTTTAGTAGAGATGGGGTTTCACCACGTTGGCCAGGCTGGTCTCGAACTCCTGACCTCAGATGATCTGCCTGCCTTGGCCTCCCAAAGTGCTGGGATTACAGGCATGAGCCACCATGCCCGGCATAAATTTTTAATAAAACAGTTCATAGCCGGGCGCGGTGGCTCACGCCTGTAATCCCAGCACTTTGGGAGGCTGAGGCAGGCAGATCACCTAAGGTCGGGAGTTCAACACCAGCCTGACCAACATGGAAAAACCCTGTCGCTACTAAAAATACAAAATTAGCCAGGCATGGTGGTGCATGCTTTTAATTCCAGCTACTCGGGAAGCTGAGTCAGGAGAATCACTTGAATCCAGGAGGCGGAGGTTGAGGTGAGCCGAGATCGTGCCATTGCACTCCAGCCTAGGCAACAAGAGCAAAACTCCATCTCAAAAAAATAATAAATAAATAAAAACAAAACAGTTCACTATGCCAGAACACATGCTCGCCCAACAGAGGATGAAAATTAACAAATAGGCCAGGCTCAGTGGCTCACGCCTGTAACCCCAGCACTTTCGGAGGCCGAGACAGGCGGATCACCTGAGGTCAAGACCACGAGATCAGCTTGGCCAGCATGGTGAAACCTTGTCTCTACTAAAAATACAAAAATTAGCCAAGTGTGTTGGCGCACGCCTGTAATCCCAGCTACTCAGGAGGATGCGGTGGGAGAATCACTTAAACCTGGGAGGAGGAAGTTGCAGTGGGCCGAGATCATGCCTACACTCCAGGCTGGGTGACAGAGCAAGACTCTGTCTCCAAAAAATTTTTTAAAACTTAATAAATACAAAATCAGTATTTGTGGTGTGTCAAAGAAACAGGTATATTCATTCAGAGTTGGACATAACATAAACTAATGCAATTTTTCTGAAATTCAATTTGACAGTTTGTAGCAAGAGTCATGAAAGTGCTCAACACTTCAATTTGGGACTTTTACATTAACAAATGTGGGCCAAAAAATACACGAATGAAAGGAAACCTTACCTGTTCAAAATGCTTATATCTACATTATTTGAAAAAGAGAAAAAAAAAACCTAAAACCAATCCAATTGTACAAATGTGTGAAACATTAAATGGCAGTATATAATCAGTACACTCAGCAAGCATTTTTACTGCACACTATATATGCTAGATTCAACAGTGAGCAAATCAGGTACACTCCCTACCAACCAGAGCCTCCAGTCTAAGAGATGAAATGGTTTGATACGTTTCTTCTGACGGAAAATGAATCATCTAGGCTGGGCATGGTGGCTCACGCCTGAAAGACCAAGTTAGAAAACCAGGCACAGCCAGGAGCAGTGGATCACACCTGTAATCTCAGCACTTTGGGAGGCTGAGGCAGTCAGATCGCTTGAGGTCAGGAGTTCAAGACCAGCCTGGCCAACATAGTGAAACTCCGTCTCTACTAAAAATACAAAAATTTGGCCAGGCGTGATGGCTCACGCCTGTAGTCCCAGCACTTTGGGAGGCTGAGGCAGGTGGATCACTTGAGGTCAGGAGTTAGAGACCAGCCTGGCTAAGATGGTAAAACCCCATCTCTACCAAAATACAAAAATTAGCCAGGTGTGGTGGCATGCACCTGTGATCCCAGCTACTTGGGAGGCTGAGGCAGAAGAATCACTTGAACCCAAGAGGCAGAGGTTGTAGTGAGCTGAGATCGCGCCACTGTGCTCCAGCCTGGGGAAAGAGAGTGAGACACTTGTCTCAAAAAAAAGGAATGGGTGGTAAAACAAACCCAAATCATGATTCTTGTTCTAAGTGTTTTTCATTATATAATATTCCTCCCTTTGCTAGTACAGATTTCATTTTTAGCATATGCCAAATACTGGCAAACACATATAAACACACTTTACATACCAAACTCCCGAATGGCCTTCATCTTAAGACTATATATATTTAAAATATGACTGTGGCACAAAACAACTGGAATAAGGTATTTGTAACTGGCAGAAAATATTTTCTCCACGTCCTTACCAACTGCTTGTATTGGCATTCTGACAGAAGCTTCAGTTCATGTGCCTTCCTGAATGAAGTCATGGTTCTTTCCAACCTCTGAAAACAGAAAAATCCCTCAGTTCATTACAAAGATCCCAGCAGGGGCCTCTGGCCTCTCACATGAACAAAAGCAGTTTTGCACATTTCTGAGAATTCAAAGCTGACTTGCTCCTGCATGGTGCTTTCACTTATGAATAGATGCACTAGGCAGCTGCACCGAACAGAGCCCAGTCACGTGAGAGCCCCTCCTAACCTGGCAGCAAACCAGACTCAGACCTTTAGAATAACACGTCGCCCACAAGGGGAGAGAGAGTGGCTAAGCATACAAGTTTTCAGAAGCTATGCCAGACACCAAAAGAGCTGTGCTTCTGTTCTTTCAGAAGACAGTCACCATCTAGTCAACCACTGTAACCATGTAACCATGTAACAACCTCACCTTCCCTCTAAGGAACCCACTATTTGACTTCTTAGTAAATCTTTCCAAGCAAAAGGTGATGTAACACTTCCACATGGCCTCTGGAAAAGTCAAAGATTATGTTGATCAGATCACTTAGTTCAACATTCATCACATCAAAGTTATTAAAAGAGAAGGAAAACAACAGTCATCATACATCTTTTCTTTGAGGGGAAAACTCTCTTCTGAAGAAGAGTTTAAATTAGCCTGATTTTAAAAAGTGTTATTTTGACTACAACCAATAAAACACCTCAAATATTGGGGGAAAACAACTAACAGCTTAAACATAAAAATTGAAAGCCTTATCTAGGTTATATATCCCCTCTGCCTTTATTCTACATTATTACAAAATAAAAATTAAATCACTATCAAAAGATAATTAAGGGCCGGACACAGTGGTTCACGCCTGTAATCCCATCACTTTGGGAGGCTGAGGCAGGCAGATCACTTGAGGTCAGGAGTTCAAGACCAGCCTGGCCAACATGGTGAAACCTCATCTCTACTAAAAATACAAAAATCAGTGGCGCATGGTGGCATACACCTGTAATCCCAGCTACTCAGGAGGCTGAGGCAGGAGAACTGCTTAAACCTGGGAGGAAGAGGTTGCAGTAACCCGAGATCATGTCACAGAGTGAGACTCTGTCTCAAAAAGAAAAAATAAATAAATAATTAAGGACGTCAGTAATCCTAGCACTTTGGGAGGCCGAGGCATGCAGATCGCTTGATTCCAGCAGTTCAAGACCAGCCTGGGCAATGTGACGAAACTTCATCTCTACAAAAAATACATTAAAATTGGCCTGGCATGGTGGCACGTGCCTGTAGACCCAACTATTCGGGGCGGAGGTGGGAGGACTGCTTCAACCCAGGAGGCAGAGGTTGGAGTGAGCTGCAAACGTGCCACTGCACCCCAGCCTGGGTGACGCAGCAGGATCCTGTCTCAAAAAAAAAAAAAAAAGAAAAGGTAATTAAGGAGTAATAATTTAAGAATCTTAGGAATTATTTCCTAAGTTTCCCCCAAAATAAATGAACATAAATACCACTACTATGGAGGAAGGTCATAAAAGCTCCATTACCATCAGACAAAGACCAAGTTAGAAAGCCAGGCACGGCCGAATGCGGTGGCTCACGCATGTAATCCCAGCACTTTAGGAGGCCAAAGTGGGCAAATCACCTGAGGTCAGGAGTTCAAGACCAGCCTGGCCAACATGGTGAAATTCCATCTCTACTGAAAATACAAAAATTAGCCGGGGATGTGGCACATGCCTGTAATCCCAGCTACTCGGAAGGATGATGCAGGAGAATCACTTGAACCCAGGAGGCAGAGGCTGCAGTGAGCCCAGATTGTGACATTGCACTCCAGCTTGGGCAAGAGTGAGACTTTGTCTCAAAAAAAAAAAAAAAAAAAACAACAAAGCCAGACACGGTGGCTCATACCTGTAATCCTGTAATCCTAGCACTTTGGGAAGCCAAGGCGAGTGGATCACCTGAGCTCAGGTGTTCACGACCAGCCTGAGCAACACGGTGAAACCCCGTCTCTACTAAAATACAAAAAAATTAGCTGGGCATGGTGGCAGGCACCTGTAGTCCCAGCTACTCGGGAGGCTGAGGCAGAAGAATTGCTTGAACCCGGGAGGCAGAGGTTGCAGTGAGCCTAGATCAAGCCACTGAACTCCAGCCTGGGTGACAGAACGAGACTCCGTCTCCCAAAAAAAAAAAAAAAAAAAACCAGAAAGTCAGGCACATCATTAACTATACTACAGAGAGATCCCCAATATTGATTTTGGCAATGGGAACGGGAGCTTAAGTTTCATACTCAGGGGTACTATTCCTTCTCTATCACACCATGGTTTGGTGAAGCTCACCTGTTGGCAGAGTCTTCACTGCCTCTTCATATACAGCACAGCATCTCTCCTCCTTCCGGCCAACCTCCACTGCTTTGGCTTGTTTCGTTGTGGGCTGCTCTTCTCCTGTCTGTGACTCGATCTCTAATTCTCGCCTTGCTACATAATCCCAAGTGAGAGGATCATCTGTGTGTAGAGTCTGAAGGCTGAAAAATACAACTTACCTGTATCTATCCCACAACAAGAAACTAACTCGGAGTATCAGAGAAACAGTTACCTATGCTTAAAAAATCTACACAGGACATCCCTGTAACAACTGCAGTACCATAAAAACTATTTCCCAGGCCGGGCCCAGTGGGTCACGCCTTTTGGAGATCAGAACTTTGGGAGTCCGAGGTGGGTGGATCACCTGAGGTCAGGAGTTCGAGACCAGCCTAACCAATATGGTGAAACCCCATCCCTACTAAAAATACAAAAATAAGCCGGGCATGGTGGTGTGTGACTGTAATCCGAGCTACTAGAGAGGCTGAGACAGGAGAATTGCTTGAACCCATGAAGCGGAAGTTGCAGTGAGCCAAGATCGTATCACTCCAGGCTGGGTGACAAAGCGAGACTCTGTCTCATAAAAAAAAAAAAAAAAAAAAAAAAAAGGCCAGGCGCGGTGGCTCAAGCCTGTAATCCCAGCACTTTGGGAGGCCGAGACGGGCGGATCACAAGGTCAGGAGATCGAGACCATCCTGGCTAACACAGCGAAACCCCGTCTCTACTAAAAACACAAAAAATTAGCCGGGCGAGGTGGCGGCGCCTGTGGTCCCAGCTACTCGGGAGGCTGAGGCAGGAGAATGGCGTAAACCCGGGAGGCGGAGCTTGCAGTGAGCTGAGATCCGGCCACTGCACTCCAGCCTGGGCAACAGAGCGAGACTCCGTCTCAAAAAAAAAAAAAAAAAAAAAACACACTAGGCCGGGTGCGGTGGCTCAAGCCTGTGATCCCAGCACTTTGGGAGGCCGAGACGGGCGGATCACGAGGTCAGGAGATTGAGACCATCCTGGCTAACACCGTGAAACCCCGTCTCTACTAAAAAATACAAAAAACTAGCCGGGCGCGGTGGCAGGCGCCTGTAGTCCCAACTACTCGGGAGGCTGAGGCAGGAGAATGGTGTGAACCCGGGAGGCGGAGCTTGCAGTGAGCTGAGATCCGGCCACTGCACTCCAGCCTGGGCAGTAGAGCGAGACTCTGTCTCAAAAAAAAAAAAAAAAACCGAAAAAATCTATTTCCCAACAGGCTCTCCAGAATATCTTCACTCATTGTAGAAATTTTGTCAATGGATCAGAATTGTCCCACCTTTTTTTTCTGTTGTTGTTTATTGAGCCAGAATCTCACTGTCACCAAGGCTGGACTGCAGTGGTATGATCTCAGCTCACTGTAACCCCCACCTCCCGGATTCAAGCAATTCTCCTGCCTCAGCCTCCCAAGGAGCTAGAATTACAGATGCACACCACCACACCTGGCTAATTTTTGTATTTTTTTTTGAGAGACAAGTTTTCACCATGTTGGCCAGACTGGTCTCGAACTCTTGACCTCAAGTGATCCTCCTGCCTCAGCCTCCCAAAGTGCTGGGTGGGATTACAGGTGTGAGCCACCGCACCTGGCCAGAGTTGTCCCACATTTATTGAGTTTCAGAATATTTCAGGTATCATTCACAAATGCTAACTTTCAAGTTAGCTCTCAAACTCAAATCAGCAGTTATCTGTGACAACACAAGACTCCAAGAGACCTGAAGAACTTTTTTTTGTTTTTGAGATAGGGTCTGTCACCCAGGCTGGAGTGCAGTGGTGCCATCATGGCTCACTGCAGCCTCCACCTCCCAGGCTCAGGTGATCCTCCCACCTCAGCCTCCCATGTAGCTGGTACTGTAAGTGCATGCCACCATACCCAGCTAATTTTGGTAGTTTTATTGTACAGAGTTTTGCCATGTTGCCCAGGATAGTCTCCAACTCCTGGGGGCTCAAGCAATCGTCCATCCTAAAATGTTGGGATTACAGCCCCTGTGCCCAACCTAAAGAACTTCATTATATCTGAGCTCTTCATTTTCAGTGTGTGTGTGTTTTCAGACAGAGTTTCTCTCTTGTTGCCCAAGCTGGAGTGTAGTGGCACAATCTCAGTTCACTATAACCTCCGCCTCCTGGGTTCAAGCGATTCTCCTGCCTCAGTCTCCCGAGCACCTGGGATTACAGGCATGTGACACCACACCCAGCTAATTTTTGTATTTTTAGTAGAGGTGGGGTTTCACCATGTCGGCCAGACCAGTTTCAAACTCCTGACCTCAGGTGATCCGCCCACCTCGGCATTCCCAAATGCTGGGATTACAGGCAAGAGCCACTGCACCCAGCTTTTTTTTTTGGAGACAGTCTTGCTCCGTCACCAGGATGGAGTGCAGTGGCGTGATCTCAGCTCACTGCAACCTCCACCTCCCAGGTTCAAGTGATTCTCCTACCTCAGCCTCCCAAGTAGCTAGGATTACAGGTGCATGCCACCACACCAAGCTAATTTTTGTATTTTCAGTAGAGACGGGGTTTCACCATGTTGGCCAGGATGGTCTCAATCTCTTGATCTCAGGTGATCTGCCCACCTTGGCCTCCAAAAGTGCTGAGATTACAGGTGTGAGCCACCGTGCCCGGCCCAAGGTTCTTCATTTTCTAAATAATACAGAAAAAGCACAACCTATTCCTCTCTCAAAACCCTGAAGATACCCAAACAACAAACTGATTCAAGTTCTATTTCTCCTCCTGTCAAAGGAAGAGGTGCTACCAAAGAACGCAAGTACCCACAAGGTAGGCTACAAATAATTTTTTTTTCATTAAAAATTTAATGGTCTCACTCTGTCACCCAGGTTGGGGTGCGGTGACGCAATAACAGCTCACGGCAGCTTCAACCTCACAGGCTCAAGGGATCCTCCCACCTCAGTCCTGCAAGTAGCTGGGACTACAGGCACACAACACCATACCCAGCTAATTTTATTGTTATTTTTGGTAAAAACAAGATCTCACCATGTTGCCAAAGCTTACAAATAACTGTTAAACCATATAATCAGATATTAAAGAATAAAATTACCAGCCATGTGTAATGGCTCACATCTGTAATCCTTGCACTTTGGGAGGCTAACGCAGGAGGATCACTTGAGCTCAGGAGTTCAAGACCAACCTGGGCAACATAGTGAGACCTCATCTCTATAATTAAAAATGTAAATAGGCCGGGCGCGGTGGCTCAAGCCTGTAATCCCAGCACTTTGGGAGGCCGAGACGGGCGAATCACGAGTTCAGGAGATCGAGACCATCCTGGCTAACACGGTGAAACCCCGTCTCTACTAAAATACAAAAAAAATTAGCCGGGCGAGGTGGCGGGCGCCTGTACTCCCAGCTACTCGGGAGGCTGAGGCAGGAGAATGGCGTGAACCCGGGAGGCGGGGCTTGCAGTGAGCTGAGATCCGGCCACTGCACTCCAGCCTGGGCAACAGAGCCAGACTCCGTCTCAAAAAAAAAAAAAAAAAAAAAAAAAGTAAATAAATAAAAATATAATAAAGAAATAAAAAGAATTACCAGCACTCAACTATAAACATATAACTCTCATTTTATGGATAAATGCCAGGAAAATAGAATTTACAATTTTATATAAGCTTTTTTTTTATTGAATAAACTATTTCCCCCAATAAGTGAATCAAAGAACTTAATCAGGAAGATACTTTTTTTCTTCTGAGACACAGTCTCACTCTGTGACCCAGACAGGAGTGCAGTGGCAGGATCACAGCTCACTCCAGCTTCAACCTCCCGGACTCAGGTGATCTTCCCACCTCAGCCTCCAGAGTAGCTAAGACTACAAGAATGCACCACCATACCTAGCTTATTTTTGTAGAGACAGGGTTTCACTATGTTGCCCAGGCTGCTCTCAAACTCCTGAGCTGAAATGATCCACCTGCCTTGGTCTCCCAAAATGCTGGGATCCCAAAGTGTGAGCTACCGCACTGGGCCAGGAAAAAAATTTTTTAACATAATATGATATTAGGTTGTTTTTTTTTGTTTTTTGTTTTTTGTTTTTTGAGATGGAGTTTCGCTCTTGTCGCCCAGGCTGGAGTGCAATTGTGGAATCTTGGCTCACTGCAACCTCCGCCTCCCAGGTTCAAGAGAGTCTCACCTGACTCAGCCTCCCAAGTAGCTGGGATTACAGGCATGCATCACCACACCCAGCTAATTTTTTATTTTTAGTAGTGACAGGGTTTCACCATGTTGTTCAGGCTGGTCTCGAACTCCTGATCTCTAGTGATCCACCCACCTCAACCTCCCAAAGTGCTGGGATTACAGTTGTGAGCCACTGCACCCGGCTAATATTAGCTTTTATTCCAGGGATTTAGTGTGGTATCTTCTTTCTCTTCTACTAAATATCCAACCTCAAACCCTTAATCTCAAGATCAGAAATAGATATCTTCACCTTTCTACTAATGTTACTTACTCATCATAAATCTCTTTTTGTAGATCTTTGGCAAAGTCAAATAGCTGTGCAATTGAAAGCAGTGACACGTGAAATTCTGCACCTAAATTTAAAAAGCAAGGAAGGAGACATTTATTGCCAATAAGAGTCACTTTACTTTAAAAGTAGCATTCTTCTCATGTACTAGAGTTAATCTTTTTGTTTTTTAAATGAGAAACAGAACAAAATAGAAGAAAAGTCATCCCATAGTCCCCTCACCTCAGGGTCCCCCTACTCAAGCAAAGCTATTGTTAATATCTTTGAAGTATTCATAAAAATAGAACTAATTTTCAACTCCCCACATTATTTAATTACTCCATGAGAACTGTGCAATGGCTCACGCCAGTAATGTCATCACTTTGGGAGGCCAAGGCAGGAAGATCACTTGAGCTCAGGAGTTCAAGACTAGCCTGGACAACACGGTGAAACCTCATCTCTACTAAAAGCACAAAAATTAGCCAGGCATAGAGGTCCATGCCCAGCTACTCAGGAGGCTGAAGTGAGAGAATCGCCTGAGCCCATGAAGTCGAGACTACAGTGAGCCATGATTGTACCATTGCACTCCTGCGTGGGTGACAGAGTGAGAACCTGTCTCAAAAAAAAATAAATGGAAGGATAAAGGACTACACACTGGGTACAGTGTACACTGCTCGCTAATGGGTGCACCAAAATCTCAAAAATCACCACTAAACCTGTTCCCCAAAAACCTACTGACATTTTTATTTTTGTGAGATGAAGTCTCGCTCTGTTGCCTAGGCGCTCTCTCAGCTCAGTCACTGCAACCTCCACCTCCCAGGTTCAAGCGATTCTCCTGCCTCAGCCTCCTAAGTAGCTGGGATTATAGGCGCCCACCACCACACCCAGTTAATTTTTGTATTTTTAGTAGAAACGGGGTTTCACCTTGTTGGTCAGGCTACTCATGAACTCCTGACCTCAGGTGATCCACCTGCCTCGACCTCCCAAAGTGCTGGGATTACAGGCATGAGCCACCGCACCTGGCCCAAACCTATTGAAATTTAAGGAATAAAAATGGGAGTAGAATATAAATTTAAAAAAGAGACTTATGCCGGGCATGGTGGCTCACGCCTGTAATCCCAGCACTTTGAGAGGCCGAGGGGGGCAGATCACGAGGTCAGGAGTACAAGACCAGCCTGGCCAACATAGTGAAACCATGTCTCTCCTAAAAATACAAAAATTAGCCAGGCAGGGTGGTGCGCGCCTATAGTCCCAGCTACTTGGGAGGCTGAGGCAGGAGAATCACTTGAACACAGGAGGCAGAGGCTGTGGTGAGCCGAGATTGCCCCACTGCACTCCAGCCTGGGCAACAGATCGAGACTCCATCTCAAAAAAAAAGTAAATAAGTTACCGAAATGTTCAATTATAGCCTAGGAAAAATAAGTATTTTCTGAAAGAAACAGGACACTATTCCTACAGAGTTTTATATACATTCTACTGGAAAATTTCAAAACTAGGTAAAGATCATCATTAGGAAAAGAATGTTTCACTTTCCTACCAAAAATAATGTTCAAAAGATACCTACCTTTAATTATGCTTACAGAATTTTTGTAGATGATCCGTGCCAACTCGCCCTTAAGGATTTCTTCAGAATAATCAGGATGCTCCTAAAGAGTGTTATATCAAATGTAACTTAATAGGTAGTACAAGGAGGAAAAGCACTAGGACGAAAATTAACAATCCTAGACTATCTGTGCCATATGACCACTGGCAAATCATGTCTCTCTCTCCAGGCCAGTTCCCTCACTTGTAAAGTATGCAGCTTGAACAAGATCACTGATCTTCCAACTGTGTTCTTTCAGGCTCCAAGAGTGGTGGCAAGATCACACAGCTTAAGGCCTCACTCTCCACTTGGACCAAAACAAGTCATATTTTACATGTCTTATTTGCGCTTCTGTGTAACATTTTATTTGAATAAAAAAGTCCCGGCCTGGCGCAGTGGCTAGCGCCTACAATCCCAGCACTTTAGGAAGCTGAGGCAGGTGGATCACTTCAGGTCAGGAGTTCAAGACCAGCCTGGCCAACATAGTGAAACCCCATCTCTACTAAAAATACAAAAATTAGCCAGGCATGGTGGCAGGGCGCCTGTAATCCCAGCTACTCAGGAGGCTAAGGCCAGACAATCACTTGAACCCGGGAGGCGGAGGTTGCAGTGAGCCAAGATCGTGCCATTGCACTCCACCCTGGGCAACAAGAGCAAGACTCCATCTGAGAAAAAAGTTCTGAGCTGGAAACCACAATAATAGACAATAGCAAAGTTTCTTCTCAGGTCTAACATTCTAAATCTTTTAATTATTCTGTCACATAAGAAATTATATAAAAAGGGAAAGAAAGAAGGCCAGGAAACCACACATTTCACAACCTTTCTCAAGCTCCTTGAATCCATTAATATATCACTTTATGAGATCATACAGTGTTAAAGAATAGCATTTGGCTATTCTGTAAGTAACAATTTTGAGGACCACATTAATTAGTCCAAATATCTATTTTTATAGCATAAAGCTTCACTTTCCTAAGTCCACTTATAATTAACACTAACTCATCTGGAAGTTTCAAAATGGAACAACATTAAACATTAAAGCTTGAACCGGGAGGCAGAGCTTGCAGTGAGCCGAGACGGTGCCACTGCACTCCAGCCTGTGTGGCAGAACAAGACTCCGTCTCAAAAAAAAAAAGAAAAATATATTCCAAATATTTTCTCTTACTCCTAAGTAGGCTCAAAATGCTACACATTGTTAGCAAGTGAGAATAAAATAATTAGAACCTTACCACATCCATACTGGCTTTTTCAAATTCTTCCTTCTCTTTCCTCAGTTTTTCCGCATGCATCAGCTCCATCCTAAAGTACTACAGAAGGGAAATAAACTGAAAATCTTTGGAGATGCTTTTTTAAATTTTTTTGAGACAGGGTCTTGCTCTGTCACCCAGGCTGGAGTGCACTGGTGATCACAGCTCATTTCGGCCACGAATTCCTGTGCTCAAGTGATCCCCTTGCCTCAGCCTCCTGAGTAGCTAGGATTAGAGGCACATCCCATCACACTCAGGTAATTTTTTTATTTTTATTTTTTGGAGAGACAGGGTCTTGCTACGTTGCTGCCTGGCCTCAAACAACTGACCTCAAGTGATCCTCCTGCCTCAGCCTCCCAAAGTGCTGGGATTAAAGGCATGAGCCACCACATCCAGCCTTAATTTTCATTTAAGAATTAAATAGCAGGCTGGGCATGCCTGTAATCCCAACACTTTGGGAGGCCGAGGTGGGCGGATCACTTGAGGTCAGGAGTTTGAGACCAGCCTGCCCAACATTGTGAAACCCCATCTCTACTAAAAATACAAAAATTAGTAGGGCATGGTGGCGCACACCTATAATCCCAGCTACTTCAGGGGCTGAGGCAGGAGAATAGTTTGAACCCCGGAGGCGGAGGCTGCAGTGAGCCAGGAACACACCATTGAACTCCTGCCTGAGTGATAGAGTGAGACTCCGTCTCAAAAAAAATAATAATTAAATTGCAGTTTCTCTTTTATCCTGACAAATGACTCAAACAGTGCAGCTTCCAATACATCCTTTCTATTATTTGGGATTTTCATCTAAAGCTTGGCCCTCAAATGTTCTACGGCACCGTCCATAAGGGAGTAAGTCCCCAAAGAGGGAAAGGAAGTAGTGCCAGGTATCTATCTCAAGAAAAGGAGACAGAAAGAACGTGGAGAAAAGAGGAAGACAAGGCAAAGAAGCCAGAAGAGGGCTTCTTTGGAGAACCAAGGGAACAAGGGGAACAAGAAAAAAAATAAAAACAAAAGTATAAAGAGGCTAAATCTGGCTCCCAACTAAAAAAATGTTAGAGTCTAGTTCCCTATTCCTTCCAACCACAGGAAGGAGGTGGGGGTTCTAACCTCTCAACTAACTTAGAAGCTGCAGTGTCAACACCTACCACTGGCCAAAAAATAAAAAGATGTTTTTCCCTGGCCGGGCACGGTGGCTCACACCTGTAATCCCACCACTTTGGGAGGCTGAGGCGGGTGGATCACCTGAGATTGGTAGTTCGAGACTAGCCTGCCCAACAGGGCAAAACCCCATCTCTACTAAAAATACAAAAATTAGCCAGATGTGATGAGGGGCCTCTGTGATCCCAGCTACTTGGGAGGCTGAGGCAGGAGAATCGCTTGAACCCAGGAGGTAGAGGTTGCAATGAGCCAAGACTGGGCCACTGTACTCCAGCCTGGGCACCAGAGCGAAACTCCGTCTCCAGAGGCTTTTCCTTACCCACACCTCCACACTTATTCCTAACCTCCATAAATTGAAGCCTTTTTTATTTAATAAAGAATACACGGGCCGGGAACAGTGGCTCACACCTGTAATCCCAGCACTTTGGGAGGCCAAGGCGGGCAGATCACGAGGTGAGGAGATCGAGACCATCCTGGTTAACTCGGTGAAACACCATCTCTACTAAAAAATACAAAAAATTAGCTGGGCGTGGTGGCAGGCACCTATAGTCCCAGCTACTCGGGAGGCTGAGGCAGGAGAATGGCGTGAACCTGGGAGGCAGAGCTTGCAGTGAGCCAAGACTGCGCCACTGCACTCCAGCTTGGGCGACAGAGCGAGACTCTGTCTCAAAAAAAAGTGTGTGTGTGTGTGTGTGTGTGTGTGTGTGTGTGTGTCTCCAGCCCGGCCAACAAGGCAAAACCCCATCACTACTAAAAATACAAAAAATAGCCGGGTGTGGTAGCGGGCACCTGTAATCTCAGCTACTCAGGAGGCTGAGGTATAAGAATTGCTTGAATCCAGGAAAAAAAAAAATATATATGTCTCCAGAGGACCAAACTGAGACATCACCATCTCATCCCATGTGCACACACACTTACTTCTTTATAAAGTTTTGCACATTCTGGATGAAAGCGCAGTGCCCGAAGAAAGAGTTGCCTTGCGCTTTCTGAAGACAATCGATCTTCCATTTCCCATTTGGCTGCCATAATCCACAAAGCTGTAAGTGAAAAAACATCAGATTTCATTTCAATAAATTAATCAAGTCAGACAAGAAAAGAACCAGATGATCCAATTTTAATACTCACACTTTTTTTTTTTTTTTTTGAGACGGAGTCTGGCTCTGTTGCCCAGGCTGGAGTGCAGTGGCCGGATCTCAGCTCACTGCAAGCTCCGCCTCCCGGGTTCACGCCATTCTCCTGCCTCAGCCTCCCGAGTAGCTGGGACTACAGGCGCCCGCCACCTCGCCCGGCTAGTTTTTTGTATTTCTTTTTAGTAGAGACGGGGTTTCACCGCGTTAGCCAGGATGGTCTCGATCTCCTGACCTCGTGATCCGCCCGTCTCGGCCTCCCAAAGTGCTGGGATTACAGGCTTGAGCCACCGCGCCCGGCCACATTTTTTTTTTTAAGATGGAGTCTCACTCTGTCGCCCAGGTGGAGTGCAGTGGTGCGATCTTGACTCACTGCAAGCTCCGCTTCCCAGGTTCATGCCATTCTCCTGCCTCAGCCTCCTGAGTAGCTGGGACTACAGGCGCCCACCACCATACCCGGCCAATTCTTTTTTGTATTTTTAGTAGAGACAGGGTTTCACCGTGTTAGCCAGGATGGTCTCGATCTCCTGACCTCATGATCCACCGCCCCTTGGCCTCCCAAAGTGCTGGGATTACAGGCATGAGCCACTGCGCCCAGCCTACTCAAACAATTTTTTTTAAAAACCCTTAACAAAAGGGGATGCAGTTCCGACAGACTGTTTCTAACTGCAAAGCTTGGTTACATTATCTAAAATTAGAAACAGTACTCTGAAGCAAATAAGTAAATGATAACAAATGTTAATTTAGAGGATGAGTACCTAAGTGTCTGTTACTATATTTCATCAGATCGAAGGACATTATTTTAAGTCATACACATTTTTTTTTTTTTGAGACAGGGTCTCGCTCTGATGCTCAGGCTGCAGTGGCACAAACACAGCTCACTGCAGTCTCTACCTCCCAGGATCCCACCTTACCCCTCAAGTAGCTGGGACTATGGGCACACACCATCACGCCCAGCTAAATTTTGTAGTTTTTGTAGAGACAGGTTTTCACCATGTTGCCCAGGCTGGTCTCAAACTCCTGATCTCAAATGATCTGCCTGCCTCGGCTTCCCAAAGTGCTGGAATTATAGACATAAGCCACCGTGCCTGGCCCACATACAAATTTTAAAGGTAGTAAAATGCCAGAAAAAGGCGAGGCGCGGTGGCTCACACCTGTAATCCCAGCACTTTGGGAGGCTGAGGCAGGCAGATCACTTGAAGTCAGGAGTTTGAGATCAGCCTGGCCAACATGATGAATCCTCGTTTCTACTAAAAAATACAAAAAATTAGCCGGATGTGGTGGCACCCTCCTGTAGTCCCAGCTATTAGGGAGGCTGAGGCAGAAGAGTCACTTTAACCTGGGAGGTGGAGGCTGCAGTGAGCTGAGGTCACACCACTGCACCCCAGCCTGGGCGACAGAAAAAACTGCTTATCTTACAATGAATGAATTATTTTTTGCTCTTTTTTCAATATTTAGAGAAATTCTAGGGCCAGGAACAGTGGCTTACTCCTGTAATCCCAGCACTTTGGGAGGCTGAGGTGAGCAGATCATTTGAGGTCAGGAGTTCGAGACCAGTCTAGCCAACACGGCAAAACCCCATCTGTACTAAAATACAAAAATTAGCCGGGCGTGGTGGTGCACATCTGTAATCCCAACTACTTAGGAGGCTGAGGCATAAGAATCACTTGAACCCAGGAGACAGAGGTTTCAGAGAGCCGAGATAGTACCACTGCACTGAAGCCTAGGCAACAGAGGCAAGACTGTCTCAAAAAAATAAAAAACAAAATAAATTCTAATTTGTAATTTTCTTTAAAATCCTTTATCCTTCTACATGGGAAATTAACTCTGAGTTAACATTCTAGCTATTTCCCTAGAAACTTAACAAAGGTCAGCTATCTTAACAAGCAAGATTGCTTTTGTTAAAAATGACATCTGGCTGGTAACCACACTTGGAATAGGAGGGTCAGCAATGGTGGCAAGAAATTCCTTTGAGCTTTCTTGAACATGTGACTCCTAAAATTGAGCATGATCTTTCTAGGATCTGTAGAAGCCATGCTCATCCATGGGGCTTCTAAGCCAGAGTGGATCCCCTACCCACTGATATGATCTCATCTCCTCATACCTGAACAGTCACCTTAGGAACCAGAGGCTACCTGTATTCTGCTAAGAGCATTCTGCAGAAGAAACATACCTAAGGCTATCCTGCTATATTTCTGAGTAAACTGGTAGCAAATGTCGTCTATTTGAGTCTTGTGTGGTGTAAGATGTCTGATTAAGCCTAATACCCTGAGAATAGGTACTGAGGCCCCTCCACTATCAACTAGACCATTTATACATTATTCACAAGAGAAATATTTCTTTTACAAAACATGAGTCTACTCTGTACCAGCACTCTTCTAAAATTTATATTGATATTTTCCCCTTTAAGCTTCTAAAATTCCTCAGATTTGACTGCCTTCAAATAAAATGTCCCTCAAAGGATTCAAAAGTTTATTCTGCCATCATCTAAAAAGAAATACAGTCTGGACGGGCACGGTGGCTCACACCTGTAATCCCAGCACTTTGGGAGGCCGAGGTGGGTGGATCACAAGGTCAGGGGTTCAAGACCAGCCTGACCAACATGGTGAAACCCCATCTCTACTAAAAATACAAAAAGTAGCTGGGCGTGGTGGCAGACGCCTGTAATCCCAGCTACTGAGGAGGCTGAGGCAGGAGAACTGCTTGAACCCAGGAGGCGGAGGTTGCAGTGAGCTGAGATTGTGCCACTGCCCTCCTGCCTGGGTGAGAGCGAGACTCTGTCTCAAAAAAAAAAAGAAATACAGTCCTTCTTGCCTGCAGATACAACACCTAGGACAGTAACTAGTATATAGTAGGCAGGGGTGAACTATGAGGCAGCTATGTCAGTAACAAAAACTGCTGAGACCAACTGCCTAAGCTCAAATCCTCAAAATAATGTCTTAGATTCATCAAGTGAAATAAAATCCAAAACGGCTTGAGTCTAAATAAAATGTAGAAAAATTGACAAAGATTTCACCATACCTGGTTTGTTGGAATGAATCGCCAACATGGCAGAGAATACCTTGCTAAGTTGAGTTTTAGTAGCCTGTAAAAAAGCAAAATATTTCTACTTCCTGCACAGATAAATCATTGCTCTTACTCGCTAAGTAATGTGAACCCTAACTTTACCAACTGTAAAATCCAATGAAGCATGACATGCTATTGCTAGGGACATACAAACGAACACAGACCCTCATAATTTTCTACCTCAATTAAACCACAAAACACTTTAAATATCTTTAAAAAATCAGCTGTATTGAACAAATACACGTAAAAATTATATTCTTTTCAATTGACTTGGAAACCATGAAGAGTCATTTAGATATCCAATGTTATATTGATGTTCCGCCTTCTTGGGTTCTTTTTTCATTTGTTAACCCTACACTTCAGGAAAAAACATCTGACATGAAGCTTAAAGGGCAGATTAACAAAAATATGGCCAGAGGAAGTAAGACATGCATGGCTTTACTTACCCACTTCTTACAAAAAACCACATAGGAGAGCCAAAGTTGAACATCATCCTGCAAGAAAAGCAATGTAGTAAGCTGCCCGAATTTGACCTTTACATATAATACACCTTCGCATTAATTAGCTTTGCTAAAAACAAGCTGATTTCAGGTTGGGTGCAGTGGCTCACGCCTGTAATCCCAACACTTTGTGAGGCCAAAGTGGACGGATCACTTGAGGTCAGGAGATCGAAACCAGCCTGGCCAACATGGTGAAACCCCACCTCAACAAAATTACAAAGATTATTAGGAGGCCGAGGTGGGTGGATCACTTGAGGTCGGGAGTTCAAAACCAGCCTAGCCAATATGGTGAAACCCCGTCTCTACTAAAAATACAAAAAAATTAGCCGGGCGTGGTGCAGACCCCTGTAATCTCAGCTACTCGGGAAGCTGAGACACGAGAATCGCTTGAACCCAGGAGGCCGAGATCGTGCCACTGCACTCCAGCCTGGGCAACAGAGGGAGGCTCCATCTCAAAAAAAAAAAAAAAAAAAAAATTAGCCAAGTGTGCTGGTATGTGCCTGTAATCCCAGCTACTAGGAAGGCTGAGGCAGAAGAATCACTTGAACCTCGGAGGTGAAGGTTACAGTGAGCTGCCAAGATTGTGCCACTGCACTCCAGCCTGGGTGACAGAGCAAGACTCCATCTCAAAAAAAAAAAGCCAGGCGCAATGGCTCAGGCCTGTAATCCCAGCACTTTTGAAGGCTGAGGCAGGTGGATCACCTGAGGTCAGGAGTTCGAGACCAGCCTGGACAAGATGGCGAAACCCTGACTACTAAAAATACAAAAATTAGCCAGGCGTGGTGGCTTGTGCCTGTAGTCCCAGGTACTGGGGAGGCTGAGGCAGGAGAATTACTTCAACCTGGGAGGCAGAGTTTGTAGTGAGCCAAGATCACAGATCACACCACTGCACTCTAGCCTGGGCGACAGAGTAAGACTCCATCCCCAAAAAAAAAAAAAAAAAAGCAGATTTCAGAAAATCCAATCACCTCTCATCCTATCTGGCTTTCCCTCACAAAGGCTCAGATCTCTTAACTATGATAATTCAATCTTTCCCCCAACTCCCACTCACAATGCCCCAAAAAAACTTTGTTATCTATCCAATTTGTTTAATGCAGTTCTTAAAGGATCTCAATCTGGGGTAGCAATATAAAATTTGTCATTCCCAAGAATCCAAAATACTTCTCATATAATATATCCAATCCCAAAGAGTCCTGTAATCCCAGCACTTTGCGAGGCTGAGATGGGCAGATCACTTGAGCTCAGCCTGAGCAACATGACAAAACCCTGTGTCTACCAAAAATACAAAAATTAGCCAGGCATGGTGGCATGTGCCTGTGATCCCAGCTACTGGGGAGGCTGAGGTGGGAGAATCATTTGAGCCTGGGAGGCAGAGGTTGCAGTGAACTGAGATCACTCCACCGTACTCTAGCCTGGGCAACACAGTGAGACTTTATCTCAAAAAAAAAAAAGAAAAGAAAAAAAATCAAGTTTCTGAGGTATTGCCCCTACATAACCATTTATCTTCAGGCTCTAAGTCTTCAGTGTACTCACAGATATATACAAGTATCTCCCAAATTTCCAATCCTTAGTAATGTATCAAATACACTATTTTCAGCACTGTCCTCACAGAATAACTATAAGGTAATAAGATCAATTTTCTTACTGGTTTGCTAAGTGGCTCAAAAAATGTTTTGAGCAATGATACCATCATTAGAATAAGTATAAAGATACCCAAGATAAAAATAGAAAACTGCAGTTGAATTCCTAATACAATATCTATAATACTTATCTTCACATCTCATAAAGTTAAGGATGGCCTGATCACTTACTTTCCATTTTGCTGAGGCACGCTGGAAAACACCTTGTACCCGGTGTACAATAGAATTCTCAATCTCATCCTTCTTAAATGAATATCCAATGCGCTAAAGGGGGACATAAAAAACAAAGCCTCAGCTTAATCACATTTGTCCAAAACAGCATTCCTACTTGACCACTGAATGGTACTGATGAAGCAAACAAATAATTACAAATATCCATTACAGGCATATCACCACACAGTTTTATCCACACGGTCTCCCAAACACAAGTCCTAACTATACCGTCAGTCATACTGCTTAGTTCTGTATTTTTTTCCAACTTCTAGAAAATCCTCTACTTACTGTTCTTCTTCTTTGGATCAGCTCCAAAAGATTAATTTCATACTATGAAAGAAAAACATACAAAAAAATTAGAAGCTAGAAAATCTAAAACCTTTTACATACTGGAAATTAAATAGTCATAAAACAAAACTCAACAATATAAAATAAAAAATAATGTGCTATCACATAAGCACAATTTACAATAAATGTCTAGAATTCACTTAAAATTCACTTAGCTATAAAACTTAAACAAAATAATTAACAAGCTTATAATTATATGCTTCACTTAAAAATTATTCCATGAAATATTAAGCTTATAAAACACCCCATGCAGCTACAATACAGCTACATCAAAACCTACATTGCACTACATTTGCTTCAAATCTTTTTTAGAAACAAAACAGTATAAAAATGAAGCCACCTATGTACCCATCTCTGATTCTACTCTTCTCCCTCTCCAGAGGCAGGAATTACCTTGACTTTGTTATCATTCCCAAACATGATTTTGAACTTTATTATAATGATGTCTTGAATGCTTTTAAGTTTTACATAAACGGTATCATGCTACATCTATCAATCCATAGGTTTTTCGTTGTTTTTTGTTTGTTTGAGACAAAAAAACAAACACTCAGGAGGCGGAGGTTGCAGTGAGCTGAGATTATGCCACTGCACTTCAGCCTGGGTGACAGAGGGAGACTCCATCTCAAAACAAAAAAAAAAAAGATTTGCTCTTATGATGAATATAAAGCAGTCCTAAAAAGCAGGACTATAAAGCAGTCCTGGGTTTTTTTGTTTGTTTTTTTGAGATGGAGTCTCGCTCTGTCGCCAAGGCTGAAGTGCAGAGGCAAAATCTAGGCTCACTGCAACCTCCGCCTCCCAGGTTCAAGTAATTTTCTGGCCTCGGCCTCCCCAGTAGCTGGGATTACAGGCACGTGCTACTATGCCTGGCTAATTTTTGTATTTTTAGTAGAGATGGGGTTCTACCATGTTGACCAGGCTGATCTCCAACTCCCAACCTCAAGTAATCCACCCGCCTCAGCCTCCCAAAGCGCTAGGATTACAGGCGTGAGCTACCATGCCTGGACCCTACACCTGGTTTTAATCTTTATTTAAATAATTACTGATGCGGCTGACATCTTTTCATAAGTTTAACTACAAGTGATGTTTCCCCTTTGTGACTTTCACGTTCACATGATTTGCCCATTTTTCTTTTCAGTTGTCATTTTCTTCTCGATTTACAGTTCTTTATACATGTGTATATGTAGTTCCAATTATGTGTTGCAAATATTTTCTCACATTTTGTGGCTTGTATTTTCACATTATTTGTAGTGTCTTTTTTGCACAGAAAAAAAATTTTTTTTTTTGAGACAGGGTCTCTATCACCCAGACTGAAGTGCAATGGCAACATCATGGCTCGCTACAGCTTCCACCTCCCAGGTTCAACTGATCCTCCAACCTCAACCTGCAGAGTAGCTAGGACTACAGGCGTGCACCACCATGCCAGCTAATTTTTGTATTTTTTTGTAGAGATGGGGTTTGCCATGTTGCCTAGGCTGGTCTTGAACTCCTCAGTTCAAGCGATCTGCCTGTCTTACAGTGAGCCACCACGCCCCTCCGGAAATTTGTATTTTGAACACAAATCAATCGATCTTTTCTCCTATGGTTTGTGCTTTCACAGTCTCATTTAGCTTTAAGAAATCTTTTGGCCGGGTGCGGTGGCTCAAGCCTGTAATCCCAGCACTTTGGGAGGCCGAGACGGGCAGATCACGAGGTCAGGAGATCGAGACCATCCTGGCTAACACGGTGAAACCCTGTCTCTACTAAAAAAATACAAAAAACTAGCCGGGCGAGGTAGCGGGCGCCTGTAGTCCCAGCTACTCGGGAAGCTGAGGCAGGAGAATGGCGTAAACCCGGGAGGCAGAGCTTGCAGTGAGCCGAGATCCGGCCACTGCACTCCAGCCTGGGCGACAGAGCAAGACTCTGTCTAAAAAAAAAAAAAAGAAAGAAACCTTGGCCGGGCGCGGTGGCTCAAGCCTGTAATCCCAGCACTTTGGGAGGCCGAGGCGGGTGGATCACAAGGTCAGGAGATCGAGACCACAGTGAAACCCCGTCTCTACTAAAAATACAAAAAAAATTAGCCGGGCGCGGGGGCGGGCGCCTGTAGTCCCAGCTACTCAGGAGGCTGAGGCAGGAGAATGGCGGGAACCCGGGAGGCGGAGCTTGCAGTGAGCTGAGATCGCGCCACTGCACTCCAGCCTGGGCAACAGCGTGAGACTCCGTCTCAAAAAAAAAAAAAAAAAGAAATCTTTTGGCTGGGCACACTGGCTCAAGCCTGTAATCCCAACACTCTGGTAGGTCAAGGCAGGAGGATCACTTGAGCCCAGGAGTTCAAGACCAGCCTGGGCAACATAAAGAGACCCTATCTCTACCAAAAATAAGAAAATTAGCCAGCCATCTGGCACAAGCCTGTAGTCCTACCTACTTGGGAGGCTGAGGCAGGAGGATCACCTAAGCCTAGAAGTTCGAGGTTGTAATGAGTGATGCTCGCACCATTGCACTCCAGCCTAGGAAAGAGTGTATTACTTGAAAAAAAAAATTGTATTTTTGACATAATATGGTCTTGACTCATTTTGAGTGAGCAGTCTACTTATAGGACCTCTTCCAAAAACAATAGCTTAGCCAAGGTTCATATATCATTTGTTCAGCTGTCTTTTGAAATCTAAGCTCAAAACTTCTAGTCTTTTTTTTTTTTTTTTTTTTTTTTGAGATGGAGTTTCACTCTTGTCACCCAGGCTGGGAGTACAATGGCACAATCTTGGCTCACTGCAACCTCCACCTCCTGAGTTCAAGCATTTCTCCTGCCTCAGCCTCCTGAGTAGCTAGGATTACAGGCGCCCACCACCATACCCAGGTAATTTTTGCTTTTTTAGCAGAGACGGGGTTTCCCCATGTTGGCCAGGCTGATCTCGAACTCCTGACCTCAGGTGATCTGCCCACCTCAGTCTCCCAAAGTGCTGGGATTACAGCACTTTGCCCACCCACTATGCCCACCCAAAACTTCTAGTCTTATAAACATTTCATCTTGTTATTGGTTCTTTCTGAATCCTGATTTCGTCATCCAACATATTAGCTATTCTCCCCCATTGGAAAATTGATCTGACATGATTTATCTTTATTCAAACCTTCCATGCATTTACAAGATGAAAAAATCTTGCAGCACACCTCTTTCCAAGTGGACAGACAACAGATAAACTAGTAACTTTTCAATTCTCTACAATCATCAAATTCACTCTCCTCTATCTTGCTCACCAAGAGGCAAATCTCTTGCTGAAGTCCTGATACACAATATGTCTCTGACAATCTCTGATCTACAAACCCAGTAGAAAAAAAAAAAAGAAAGAAAATGAAGAGAGAGAAAGAGAGGGGAAAAGTAAGTTCAGTTTGGCAAGGACTAAAGTCTTAGTGGAGTAATGCTATTCCCAATGTTACTCCTGTTCAGAAATATCTATCTAATGCACCTTTCTGGAATTTTAGAAAAAAATAATTTTTTTTTTGAGACGGAGTCTCACTCTGTTGCCCAGGTTGGAGTGCAATGGCGCGATCTCGGCTCCTGCAACCTCCACCTCCCGAGTTCAAGAGATTCTCCTGCCTCAGCCTCCTGAGTAGCCGGGATTACAGGCACCCGCCACCATGCCCGGCTAATTTTTGTATTTTTAGTAGAGACAGGGTTTCACCATGTTGGTCAGGCTGGTCTTGAATTTCTGACCTCAAGTGATCCACCTTCCGTGGCCTCCCAAAGTCCTGGGATGACAGGTGTGAGCCACCGCACCCAGCCTAAAAATTTTTTTTTAAATTGATGTTGGCCGGGCGCAGTGGCTCCCACCTGTAATCCTAGCACTTTGGGAGGCCGAGGTGGGTGGATCACGAGATTAGGAGTTCAAGACCAGCCTGGTCAAGATGGTGAAACCCTGTCTCTACTAAAAATACAAAAATTAGCCTGGCGTGGTGGCACGCGCCTGTAATCCTAGCTACTCAGGAGGTTGAGGCACAGAACTGCTTAAACCCGGGAGGCGGAGGTTGCAGTGAGTTGAGATCACACCACTGCACTCCAGCCTGGGCAACAAGAGTGAAACTCCGTCTCAAAAAAAATAAATTGATGTTAAGCTAATCATTCTAGAACTGATTTTAAATTTGTGAAAGGATGGGAGGCTGAGGCAAGAGAATCACTTGAAGCCAGGAGGCAGAGGTTGCAGTGAGCAGAGACTGCGCAACTGCACTCCAGCCTGGGTGACACAGAGAGACTCCATCTCAATTAATCAACCAATCAATCAATTTGTGAAGGGATTAAAGTAAGGCTAGGGCCGGGCATGGTCCCTCATACCTGTAATCATAGCACTCACTTTGGGAGGCCAATGCAGGTGGACTGCTTGAGGCCAGGAGTTTGAGACCAGACTGGCCAAAATGGCAAAACCCAGTTTCTACTACAAGTAGCTGGGCGTGGTGCCACACGCCTGTAATCCCAGCTACTGGGGAGGCTGAGACTTAAGAACCACTAGAACCCGGGTGGTGGTGGTTGCAGTGAGCCAAGATCGCACCACTGAACTCCAGCCTGGACGAAAAAGCAAGACTCTTGTCTCAAAAACAAAACAAAACAAAAGAAAGACTAGGCCCGGTGGCTCACAAACACTTGTAATCCCAGCATTTTGGGCGTGGGAAACATGCCAACACCCCGTCTCTACAAAAAACACAAAAACTAGCCACACATAGTGTCACACATCTGTAGTCCCAGCTACTCCAGAGGCTGAGGTGGGAGGATGGCTCCAGCCCAGGACGTGGAAGCTACACTGAGCCATGACGGGACCACTGCACTTCAGCCTGAGTGAAAGGTGAGACCCTGCCTCAAAAAAAAGTAATAAAATTATTAATTATTGGCCAGGCATTGTGGTTCACACCTGTAAGCCCAGCACTTTGAGAGGCCAAGGCGTGGATCCCTTGAGCTCAGGAATTCCAGACCAGCCTGGGCAACATGGCAAAACCCAGTGTCTACCAAAAAGTATAAAAAATTAGCCAGGCAAGGTGGCATGCACCTGTGGTCCCAGCTACCCAGGAGGCTGAGGTAGGAGAATTGCTTGAGCCTGGAAGGCAGAGGTTGCAGTGAGCAAAGATCACACCATTCACACCACTGCACTCCAACCTGGGTGACAGAGACCCCATCTCACCAAAAAAAAAAAAATTATTAATTACACACTTACTTGAACATAATTGATAAAGTCTTCCTTGAAAAGGGTTCTTCTCTGGATTTTGTACTCTAGATCAGAAGCCTTCTTAATGATAGCCCTGAGGAGAAAACCATTTAAACTTCACTTGAAAACTGCAAAAATTAAATGTTTAACTTTATTTTGAATATATTTAAAACACGTTTTTCAAAATACAAAATTCCTAGAGTTATCCTTCATAAGAAAATACACCGGCCAGGCTCAGTGGCTCACGCCTGGAATCCCAGCACTTTGGGAGGCTGAGGTGGGTAGATCACAAGGTCAAGAGATTGAGACCACCCTGGCCAACATGGTAAAACTCCATCTCTACTAAAAAAACAAAAGTTAGCTGGGCGTGGTGGTGCGCGCCTGTAGTCCCAGCTACTCGGGAAACTGAGGCAGGAAAATTGCTTGAACCTGGGAGGCGGAGGTTGCAGTAAGCCGAGATCATGCCACTGCACTCCAGCCTGGTGACAGAGCCAGACTCCGTCTCAAAAAAAAAAGGAAAAAAAAGTATTCTCTTACACAATTACTTTTGTGTTCTTAAGGGTATCAGGATGTATTTTTAAACTTTCAGGAAAATCACCTAAATCAACTCCCAAAACCAATGACATTCCCACCAGCAAAGCAAATATAATTAAGAACTTTATACCATTTATGCATGGTATTTTTTTCTTCTTTCTTTTTCTTTTTTTTTGAGACAGTGCCTCACTCTGTCGACCCAGACTGGAGAGCAGTGGCATGATCACAGCTCACTGCAACTTCCGCCTCCTGGGTTCAAGCGATTCTCCTGCCTTAGCCACCTGAGTAGCTGGACTACAGGCGCCCGCCACCACGCTCGGCTAATTTTTGTCTTTTTAGTAGAGATGGGGTTTCACCATATTGGCCAGGCTGGTCTCGAACTCCTGATCTCACGTGATCCGCCCGCCTCGGCCTCCCAAAGTGCTGGGATTACAGGCGTGAGCCACCGCGCCTGGCTGGCATCAATAAAGACTTCTTTTACACCGAGTTCAGGTCACTTTGATTTTAATAATCTCTTTCCGAAATTCCTCTTATTTCTGAGTTCTCAACATGTAAATTTTTTAAAAACTCTAAACTGTGTCTGCCTTAAAAGGTTTATTACTACGAAGGACTTATGGGAGAAGATTCAGAGTCCTTAGCTAAGGAGAGAACACATGACAAGCACACTTTAGGAGAATTTAATGCAAGATATGCAAGACAGGTGTCTTTAGTAATGGTAACAACAACATTTACTGAGCACTTTCTAAGCATCCACACTATGTTCTGTGTTTCAGTAACGAATGCTTACTTTGAAGCTCTGAGTCGCATTACTACATTCAGACGTTGCGAAACAAAGCAGCAATCACAGAAACCATTAAAAACTATTAAACATAATTTTAACACGCAACTGAATGTCTACTATGTGCCAGGCGCTGTAGTTAGGCTCTGGAGTAGCATATGAAACTGATTTCAACGGTCCCCACCGTCAAGTCTAGTTAGAAACTTATTCACTCCCGCTGCACTCTGTTCCCATCCCTACAGCAGTACAAGCTACTGCAATCACCTTACAGTACCCTGTTATCAAAATATTTAATTTGTCTGTCTCCCCCACCACACACAGCCCAATTAGCTCCTAATGAGCAGGAATCCTCGGTTTAATCACCGTTACGACCCTAAGATCCGGCTCCATGAAAGGCTTGTCAATATGTCGGATGGGTAAGTAGACGGACGGATAACCTTGCAACGAATGAAAAATTCTGGACATCACCGAAAACGGGAAATGGGCTTCCGCCACGTTAGGAAAAATAAACACAGGTCGAGTGTCCCCACACCTGGCCCCTGCCACATACTCCCAACCTCCCCTCAGGCCGCCTTAGCTCTTCCCTCTCCCCAACCCTCTCTCACTTAATCTCCGCATGACTGAACAGTCCAATGCGCTCCAGCTGTTCCAATTCCGGGAGCCGATCTTCTATGCGCTCCTGAATTATCTCTGCCATGAGGTCCGAACTCTACAACCCGGTGGGGAGCTCCTCAACAACGAACACGAGTACGAAGCTCCGGATTTCAGGTTCGGAGATCCAGCCCTACCACCTACGCGTCCAGACGTAACGTGCTCCTTAGGTCCCGCCTTTTCCGCTTCCGCCGCCTCCGCCGTAGGGGAAGGCCCTTCGGCTTCTACAGCCACTGTCCCCTCCCTGTGGCCGATTGTGGGATTGCAGCGAGAATACCCCCTGGTCTTGGGCCGGACGACTCTAGCGGACAGGAGTTGAGGGGCGGGGCTAGACGGGAGGCGGGGCTAAGTGCGCGCGCGCCGCTAGACTTGGACCGCGATCGGGAAAAGCGTCTCCGGGTATGGAGAGGGGGGCTACCAAAGCCTAAAAGGGACACAAGATGCATTTTCTGCAGAATATTGTCTATTTTCATTGTGCTCCCATTCCACGTCCTGACTTCCCAACACCAAGAACAATAAAAAAAAAAGCAAAGGAGGATATTTTACAATTAAACATTTTTGAAAGCCGGTCGCGGTGGCTCACGCCTGTAATCCCAGCACTTTAGGAGGCTCAGGCGAGCGGATCACCTGAGGTCAGGAGTTCGAGACCATCCTGGCTAACATGATGAAACCCCGTTTCTACTAAAAATTGTAAAAAAAAAAATTGGGCCGGGCGCGGTGGCTCAAGCCTGTAATCCCAGCACTTTGGGAGGCCGAGACGGGCGGATCACGAGGTCAGGAGATCGAGACCATCCTGGCTAACACGGTGAAACCCCGTCTCTACTAAAAATACAAAAAAAAAAAAAAAAAACTAGCCGGGCGAGGTGGCGGGCGCCTGTGGTCCCAGCTACTCGGGAGGCTGAGGCAGGAGAATGGCGGGAACCCGGGAGGCGGAGCTTGCAATGAGCTGAGGTCCGGCCACTGCACTCCAGCCCGGGAGACAGAGCGAGACTCCGTCTTAAAAATAAATAAATAAATAAATAATAAAAAATAAAAAATAAAAATTGGCCGGGCGCGGTGGCTCAAGCCTGTAATCCCAGCACTTTGGGAGGCCGAGACGGGCGGATCACGAGGTCAGGAGATCGAGACCATCCTGGCCTACACGGTGAAACCCTGTCTCTACTAAAAAATACAAAAAACTAGCCGGGCGAGGTGGCGGGCGCCTGTAGTCCCAGCTACTCGGGAGGCTGAGGCAGGAGAATGGCGTAAACCTGGGAGGCGGAGCTTGCAGTGAGCTGAGATCCGGTCACCGCACTCCAGCCTGGGCGACAGGGCGAGACTCCGTCTCAAAAAAAAAAAAAAAAAAAATTAGCTGGGCTTGCTGGCATGCGCCTGTAATCCCAGCTACTCGGGAGGCTGAGAAAGGAGAATCGCTTGAACCCGGGAGGCCGAGATCGCGCCATTGCACTCCAGCTTGGGCAACAAGAGCAAAACTCCGTCTCTAAATAAATAAATAATAGGATTGTTTATTATTTAAATCAATATCTTGGATTTGTAAGTAATAGCTTTAAAAATGTATGTCCCAGGCCGGGCGCGGTGGCTCAAGCCTGTAATCCCAGCACTTTGGGAGGCCGAGACGGGCGGATCACGAGGTCAGGAGATCGAGACCATCCTGGCCAACACGGTGAAACCCCGTCTGTACTAAAAAATACAAAAAAACTAGCCGGGCGAGGTGGCGGGCGCCTGTAGTTCCAGCTACTCGGGAGGCTGAGGCGGGAGAATGGCGTGAACCCGGGAGGCGGAGCTTGCAGTGAGCTGAGATCTGGCCACTGCACTCCAGCCTGGGTGACAAAGCTAGACTCCGTCTCAAAAAAATAAAATAAAATAAAATAAAAATGTATGTCCCTAGGTGAATATCAGACACTATAAATTCTTTCCAGAAAAGCAGATTTTTGTATTGAAAAGTGTGGGAATTACCAAAATAAATCACTAAGGTATAGACACCCTCCTTAAACCATTGCCCAAGCAACTTAGCATTTCTAAGAGAACCACCAGGCAACACAGCTTGGAGGCAATATTGCTGGTATAGTTAGTAAACCTCAAATGATAACTACATGGTTCAGTTCTTTTTTAGTTCTGGATATAAAAAGCCAAAGCAGCAGTTCTTGCTAGACCTGCTTATTTCAACATTTACATTAGCACCGTGATCGTGTGTGTGATTTATGAAAGGAGAATGGGCCCAGCAAAACGATGTTCCACCTCTGTGCCTTTCATTTCTTTCTTTCCTTTCACATTTTACCCCACTCATCTCAGAACTGAGACGAGGGTTGGCTTGTGCTACACCATTTCTTGAATCCTTCAGCTGTAAGACATGAGAGAAGTGGAAGGAAATCATGAATGTAAGACAAAGAGAGAATTTATTTGTAAAAGAAAAATCTCTGGGGCTGTGTTAACAGTAAGAGTGGAGATGACACTAGATAGTGAACTCTATGTGGGCAGGGAATTTTTTCCTGTTTGGCTGGGATACTCTATAGCTTATAGCAGTGCCTACCATATAATAAGTACTCAGTTAATAAATGCATGACACTAAGAAAAGACACTTGCTAAATTTCTTTAGGTACAAGGAAGTCAGCAAGCTCTGACAGACTGTAATCATTTCAAAGTAAATTTGATAGAGACCTTGACAAATTAACCATGTGTTTTTTGTTTTTTGGTTTTTTTTTTAGAGACAGAGTCTCCCTCTGTCGCCAGGCTGGAGTGCAGTGGCATGATCTCGGCTCATCACAACCTCCAACTTCCTGATTCAAGCGATTCTCCTGCCTTAGCCTCCGGAGTAGCTGGGACTACAGGCACGTGCCACCGCACCCAGCTAATTTTTGTGTTTTTCTTAGAGATGGGGTTTCATCATGTTGGCCAGGATGGTCTCAATCTCCTGACCTCGTGATCCACCCGCCTCAGCATCCCAAAGTGCTGGGACTCCAGGTGTAAGCCACCGTGCTCGCCCAATTTTTAAATCAAACTAACTATAAATATGCTCCTCCTTTATTTTGTTTTGTTTTGTTTTGTTTTGTTTTGTTGTTGTTGTTGTTGTTTTGAGACAGAGTCTCGCTCTGTCGCCCAGGCTGGAGTGCAGTGGCGCAATCTCGGCTCACTGCAAGCTCCGCCTCCCGGGTTCATGCCATTCTCCTGCCTCAGCCTCCTGAGTAGCTGGGACTACAGGCGCCCACCACCGCGCCCAGCTAATTTTTTGTATTTTTAGTAGAAACGGGGTTTCACCGTGGTCTCGATCTCCTGACCTTGTGATCCGCCCGCCTCGGCCTCCCAAAGTGCTGGGATTACAGGCGTGAGCCACCGCGCCCGGCATTTTGTTGTTGTTTTTAAGACAGCCTCGCTGGCCAGGTGCAGTGGCTCATGCCTGTCATCACAGCACTCTGGGCAGCCGAGGCCGGCGGATATCCTGAGGTCAGGAATTCAAGGCCAGCCTGGCCAACATGGAGAAACCCCGTCTCTACTAAAAATACAAAAAAATTAGCCGGACCTGGTGGCACGTGCCTGTAGTCCCAGCTATTAGGGAGGCTGAGGCAGGAGAGTTACTTGAACCCGGGAGGCGGTGGTTGCAGTGAGCCAAGATCCCACCGCTGCACTCCAGCCTGGGGACAGACCAACTCCGCCTCAAAAAAAAAAAAAAAAAAAGACAGAGCCTCTCTGTTGCCTAGTGGGGAGGGCAGTGGTGGGATCTCGGCTCACTGCAACTTCCACCTCCTGGGTTCAAGCGATTCCCCGATTAGCTGGGATGACAGGCATGGGCCACCATGGCCGGCCAATTATGTTTTTGTTTCGTTTTGAGACAGGGTCTCACTATGTTACCCAGGCAGGAGTGCAGTAGTGTGACCACAGCTCACTGCAGCCTCAACCTCCTGGGCTCCAGCAATCCTCCCACCCCTGCCTCCTAAGTAGCTGGGGCTACAAGTGTGCCCTACCGCACCTGGCTAATTTTCCTTTTTTCTTTTTTGTAGAGACAGGGGTCTCACTATGTTGCCTAGGATGGTGTTTTGTTTTCGTAAACAAACACTGTATTGTCACCATGAGTCTTGAACTCCTGGCCTCAAGTGATCCTCTTGTTTCCACTTCTCCAAATTCTGGGATTACAGGCATGAGCCACCACACCCAGCAATCCTCCCTTATTTTGACATTTAGCTTTTTTTTTTTTTTGTGGGAGGGATGGAGTTTCGCTCTTGTTACCCGGGCTGGAGTGCAGTGGCATGATCTCGGCTCACTGCAACTTCAGCCTCCCAGATTCTAGTGATTCTCCTGCCTCAGCCTCCCGAGTAGCTGGGATTACAGGCATCCGCCACCACGACCAGCTAATTATTGTCTTTTCAATAGAGATGGAGTTTCACTATGTTGGCCAAGCTGGTCTCAAACTCCTAACCTCAGGTGATCCACCCACCTTGGCTTCCCAAAGTGATGGGATTATAGGCGTGAGCCAACACGCCTGGCCGAAATTTAGCTTTTACACATATATTCTTGTTGTTGTTGATGCGCCCGGCCCATCATAATAATTCTTGAAGGTAAATATAAAAGCTAGGCCAGGCGGGGTGGTTCAGATCTGTAATCCCAGGACTTTGGGAGGTGGAGGCAGGTGGATCACAAGATCAGGAATTCGAGACCAGCCTGGCCAACATGGTGAAACCCCATCTCTACTAAAAATACAATATTAGCCAGGCGTGGTGGGCACGTGCCTGTAGTCCCAGCTACTCAGGCGGCTGAGGCAGGAGAATAGTTTAAACCGGAAGGCGGAGGTTGCAGTGAGCCAAGATCGCGCCACTGCACTCCAGCCTGGGCAACAGACCGACGCTCCGTCTCGGGTTAAAAAAAAAAAAAAAAAAGAGTTATTATGATGTTTGGGAGGCCGAGGCAGGCGGATCAGCTGAGGCCAGGAGTTTGCAACCAGCCTGGCCAACATGGTGAAACACCCCCGCTACTAAAAATACAGAAATTAGCTGGGCATGGTGGTGGGTGCCTATAATCCCAGCTACTCTGGAGGCTGAGGCAGGAAAATTGCTCAAACCCGGGAGGCGGAAGTTGTAGTGAGCCGAGATCATGCCACTACACTCCGGCCTGGGAGACAGAGCGAGACTCCGTCTCAAAAAA